GGCACAACTTGTCAGGTAGCTTGTTGGCACCGACGCCGGAATCAACCACGCAAGGCTGAAGACCAGCTTGTCGAGCAGGGACGACGACATCGAGGACACCAATCCCGTTGCGCCGGGAGCGGCTGCGCTCGCGGTCGGGGTGTACCTGCTCAACATCCGCTGCGTCAGGGTCGAATGTGTCATCCCGCCGGCGCTTGTATTTTCCTGTTCGACGGGTGTAGACGAGCTGCCGCTGCCGTCGGGACCCCAGATGACGAGAAGGATAGGAAAGAGTTTCGCGCAACTGCTGACGAGCAGGGCGGTGCTGATGGCCGTGGGGCTCGCCGGGGACGGCGGTGGCAAAGGTCGGACGCTCTGCGCCGGCGCGGTGGACGCACGGCGCAGAGGCGGCGGGGGGAAGGGGAACGATCCCTGCGGTGTAGACGCGGGGTTGTGGTGGTGTTGGTCGGTACCGAGATTGGTGGTGGACGCCGAGGTGCCCAGGGCAGCAGCACTGGCCGAGAGTGAGACATCCTGGGAGGAACCGTGAGGTGTAAGTCTCGTCGGGCTCATTGCCATTCCGGCGGTGGGCGACTGTTGCCCTGACGGTGTAACCGACTGGGACTGGGACGAGAACGACGGGAAGACGGGGGTGGAGGGATTCGAAAGGACAGGTCCCTCGGCCCCGCTTGTGTGGGTGCTGCTGCTGCCATATGGTGTCGGTGAGAGAAAAGATGCAAGCAGCCTAACTGTGAGATGATGCGCAAGAGTTGCGACGGCGTTCAAGCTTAGAAAGAAGAGGTATTGCACGATGATCGGTGTGCGGGCAAGCCAGGACGCCGCGAGCGTGGGGGACTTCTCGATCCGCGCCCATGTGAGGTATACATCGAACAGAAGGAGAAGAATTCCCAGACGGATAATTGAGCGCTATAAACGAGACGAATCAGCGGTTAGCCAAGAAGTAGGAAGGTCGGTCCGTACATCGAATTGATTATTGTTACCCCCTAGTCTGTTGAAGAGTAGGTGTCGGTAGACCTGGCCACTCAGTCATCGGTTACACCAGCAAAAGTAGAATCAACCAAATACCTGAGGTTTGATCAGGACTAGATCTATAAAGAGCACCACAAAATCATGTTCCACATATTTGTCCGCAAAGCGCTTGCAGCGCGGACATTGCGTCAGACGCACGCCCTTGCCCAAAGAGCGGTCGTCGGCGCGGCTGTAAGTGCTATACAGGTGCGAGACGGGGTAAGAGCATTCGATGCAGATGGGCATCGTGTCATTGATTCATGATTATAGATTGATCCATGGTTTGTCGAGAGAAGAAGAGATCATGGAGCAGGTTGCGCTGCTGCTGCGGTGGACGGAGACAAGCCATGGCAATCCCGAAGGCGGTGAGTTTCTGTTCATAGCATTGCCGGTCTATCAACAATTCAATTCCTCACACCTCTATGTACGCTATGAAGGATATATTTATAATAGAAATGAATATATGCAAGAGAATGGAAAGCAGAGCCCAATCAATCAACCACGCCGGTGTCGTCGGCCCAGCTTGGCTGAGTGCTGCGGCATACAGCTTCGTAATCCCGAAACTTCTGCGAATCTTCCACCAGGCTAGGGGTGGTCCAGAACATGGTCCAATTGGTGTCGGATAGCTTCCAAGTGCCCAGAGACCGTTCAAAATACCATTTGTTCACCGGATTGTTCTTGCGGCTGCGCCAGCATACTCCGTTTGGAAAGCAGGACCGCACCATGGCGTTGAAGACAATGTCTGCCACCCCGCCTGCCCCTTGACTGCGCTTGAGCACCGCGAACTTGTCCAAGTAGGGAACCATTCGAGCATTACTGGCCTCACTGCCATCATCCTCCACGCCAGGAGGAAGTTCCCAGGTTAAAATGGCGCCGCCCTCGTACTCACCGGCGATGATCAACCCAGCAAGGCGGTCGTTGACACGGTTCAAGTAGTCTTGTACGTCGAGTTTCCGGTCAAAGGAATCCTCAATGAGATGAACCAAGCGAGGCAAGTCGATACTAGGATCGTCCAACTTCAGCCGCGGCCGACTCTGAGGTGTCCACGGCTCCGTCCACGGATTGGGCAGCATAGTCAGCGGCATACCGCGTTTGACAAACGTAGTATGCGAGGTGACGGGATAGACGGTGCCTTGCCCATTGTTCGTCGGTCCACGCCGACTCATGGGTAGGGACGACGATAGCAAGGGCTTATCCGTCAGTAGATTGTGGATTAGGGGGTTTCTCTGCCGTCGAGTGCCCACTGCGGAAAACTCAGAAGTGGGCGATGGCTGGGCCGAGCTCGCGACCTCGAATGGCGATGTGATGATTCCTGATGAGGCCGCGGGTAGCATAGTGAGCGCTTTCTGGGCAACACGCAGATTCTCCAGATGACCTTCAATTGCACTCCTTTGGGGGGCCGCAGTCTTCAGTTCCTGTGTCGGACCCGAGGGCACCGGCACGACCTCTGCGTTGACGAATTTTGAAACTGGGTTGTTGTCTGCGATGGAACTGGGGCCCGCCTTTAACAGGCTTGTCTCTGTGGCAGGCACCATCTCTCGTGCTTGTAGCAATTCGTTTTCGATATCATCGTATTCTTGCTCCATGTTTATGAAAACATGGGATGTCTGTCGCCGATTAAATGCCGGAATTCCACCTAGTGAATCTAATAGAATCACTCTGTCCAAGGACACCTCTTTCTGAAGGCGGCCGATTCTTTCCGCAGTGACCATAGGATCCTCATCAGGGTCCGGGGTGCTTGCTAGACCAGCGAGCTCTTTCGTCAACGCGAGCACAGCATCGTTCGCTGGCACTATGATAGCCCGAGGAACATCTTCGGTGTATGCAATGGGAGTCAGAATGACGGTGTGGCCATGGCGCAGCGGATTCAGCAGCGCCTTTCGAGAGGAAACTTGCGGGAGACCAGGCCTGGAAGCGTCAATGGAGAAGACCGAGTCGAGTCGAAGAGATTTAGAGTCCGGCTGCTTTTGAATAGCGACTGCCAAGCGATCGGCTTGCTCAATAGCAACTTGCCGCAGAGTACTTGCAACTCCCTCCGTCCCCGGATCAACCACAACACAGCAGGTCAAGCCCAGCCGATTCAATTGAGACAGAGTCTTTGCGACGCCGTCGATAATGTTGTCATCAAGCGATTGCGGGGTGGACAATCTGACCAAGGCCAAATGCAGTCGTTCGACTGGCTCCAGCGAAGGTGGAGCGGTAGGGCTGGGACCCTGTCGGAAGACGGGACTCTCGTAGACGGATCTGGAGGCTCCGTAGAACGACCCCAGATTGACACCAGAGGGTAAGGTAGGAGCTGTAGCTAATTTCTCGGGTTCGGGCTTGTTCTCATCGGGTGACTTTGGGTATTGAGCCTTCAACCGAGCCAGATAGGATTTGGCTTCTCGCTTGGTGGATGCGGAGCTCAACAAGCTCAGAAAGAATTCCTGCAATTGCGAGAAAAGTGAACCCGTTAGCCAATTGAACTTAGAACCACGCACTGCAGTGTGACTGTACCCGGTCGAGCAGCTTCTCCTTTGCCCGTCGGCCTAACCGGTCATAACTCCGACTAGTAGAAGAAAAGTCGGCGCTCTGCTGGACATGCCGATCAGCAGTAGTGGAAAAGGATCGAGGTAAGAAAGATGATGTATGCTGGCAGGTGCAAAGCGAAGAACGATGCTTCTGGACATTATAAATGCGGTCAGAGACGCTTGAATTATCGAGTTGTTGTATGATTTGGTACCTTGAGGAGAGATGAGTTGACCGTCCGCGGCCAACCGGTGTGAGGGCTCATGTTTCGTTCCTGTCAAAGACCCACGAGAACGAGACCAGAAAGGGATGCATGGAAGAAAAAAGGATAAAGAGGGTCAAGAGGAATGAAATTATGAGTTATATGTAGCGGTCAACCCAGAAGCCAGAAAAAGGGCGACAGGCTTAGAAGCTACCTAACAAGTCGAGGGAGCCCAAAGAAAATATTGAGTGTATGAGTCGATGCGGGATTTAGTTTTCTTTACTCCGGAGTATGACGCACTCCGCTGTCGGTCGGCTGTTACATTCATTATTCTCTTTCTGTGCGCAGAAACTGCCTGATAATCGGATTTTCCATCATGATAGGCTGCAGTCAACATATGAGAAATCGCCTCATTCTAATTACTCATTATGAGATGTCCAGTCGGAATGGTGGATAATCGCTCAGAGTATCGAGTGTTACTGCTCGTATGGCCGACACTATAACCGAGTTACAGTATGTATACTCCGATAGGAGGTACTAGATAACTAGTACGGATACCCCTCTAGTATGTAAGTAGAGTAAATCCGCTCCGATAGTTCCTTCGGCTTTTTTACTGGTCGAGGCGGGTATCACTGCTTGGTAGCTTCATGATGGAGGAAAAAAGTGACAGTAAGAGGTACTTGGGACATTATTGGTAGTCACGTTACTTGGATGTCTGAAGAAATGCTGGAAATTCTGTCCTGAAGAATGCTCGATAGACGTGCCACGAATCAAGTTACCTAGTACTACTAGAGAGTTACTACTACTAGTTACAGAGTTTTCCCCTGGTGGCAACCGCATAGTCTGCAGATTGTGAGATAGCACAATCAATCAGATATCCTCTCGAGTTGCATGATGCAGGTCCCTTATCACTATCCTGGTCAATATGCAACTGAAGAATTATAGATCGAGTAATCACATAGATAGAATGCCATCAATCTTCAAAATCAAACCTTTGTAAAGAGTCTAATTTAATCCATTCCACTAATGCTATATCATATTACCCGCATTAAGCTGCTCCACAGTCCACTTACTCACTTTTTCTAGGCTTTCCCGCCGAACCGGAAACCCCTCTAATTTTCAGCCCTCCCCCATCATTCTCCGCCATCGCTATTACTACCTAGGTATCTGTGCGCCAGTCACAGATTTGAGTCTTGGTCTTTTTACCATCTTTTCTTTTCGTGAGTCTAGTTGGGAGTTATCGGTATTCCCAACGGATCAGTTCTCTTGAACTCCCTTGGCCATGGCGGAACCCACCCATCAGACCGAAACCATGACCGGTTTCAAGCCCTTGTCCAACGCCGAAGACTATTCCCTGCCTGCTACAGCCAGCGATTTGTCTCCACGGGCAGAGGCTGCCATGGCGAATGGTCTTCCCTTGGAGACTGCCGACGAAGACCACGAGGAGGTGGACGAAGACTATGTCGCAGTCGACCCTGACGAGATCAGTGATTTCTCATATTGGCTCCGGCGCCCGCCTGTGCATCATCGCACCAAGTTGGATGAATTGCATCCTTTTGTCCAAATCCTGACGGTTTCCAATGTCGATGATTGTGTCGAGGTCGAAAATGCTTTTCCAGAGAACGAGCGCTGCTCCCGAGAAAAGGTGTGTTTTCTAGTCAATTAGTTCATCGAAATGTCCTCCTGACCCTTTTCTGTCCTCTGCCAGTTCATCTACCGCCTCACAAAATGCCCTGAATTATGTCTAGGCCTGTTCACCATTCCCATTGTACCAAAGGGCCAACCCAAGCCGCGTCCGACGTTGATCGGTCATATCATTGCTACGCGGACCTCAACACAACTTGTCACAGACAATGCCATGAAGCTCCCGTCCAACTGGAGGAGTGCACGCGTCGTTACGGAGAATGGAGAGACCATCGGACACGACGAGTATGGCAGCACCATCGCCATCCATTCCCTCGCTGTACTTCCGGAACACCAGGGCAAGCAAGTCGGAAGCACTTTGATGAAGTCATATATCCAGCGGATCAGGGAAGCCGCGATCGCAGAGCGCATCTCCATCATTGCGCATGACCATCTGGTGCCCTTTTACGAGTCTTTTGGGTTCGAGAACCGTGGTCCCAGCAAGTGTCAGTTTGGCGGTGGCGGATGGACTGACCTGGTGAGTTTCTTCTTGACTGATTAGAAGGTGTTATGGCCTCCTCAGACTGTGAATGCTAACTGGATCAGGTGCTGGAATTTGCCCAGGAATAATCATGAGTTCATGACCAATGGTTCATCTTACTTCGAGTTCTGTATTGCGTGTCCTTGTTCGGCAAGTTTGATGTCATCTTTCATCTTTTTTTGTTATTCACTCTGTCTTTTATCTCCCCACGAGCTTGCATGTTAATGGGTCACACGCTGGTTTTTGGTCTTAGATGGTGGGCTTTACGAGGAAAAAGCAACGGAGTTCTGTCATGGATCTGGGACGGAGGGACTGGGTTTTCAGCCATCTTATGTGTAACCATACTCCCGTGATGATAGTCAATGTACATGATTATGATTAGAATGCAATAATTATCTATTATCCTTTTCCTTCATCAATCATCTATCTATTCGCTGTAACCAGTCTCGCTACTTTTCCCTCCCCACATCTGCGCTGTTCACCGCCCGCCAAAATCTGCCCGCCCGACCGCCCGCAAATAATTTTTTTCCCTCCGTCTATCAACAACGCTCCATCAGCTCGTCCACCGGAAAACATCGCAAGAGTTTTTCAAGTTTTATTTCTCTTGCCGGTGCCCATCATGAAGACGACCTGGAAGGATGTAAGTTGTCTTGTTGATGGATTTTATTTTCACATACCGTGTCAGAACATCCCAAAAACTGATGGATTTTTCACCGCTTGCTTAGATCCCACCTGTGCCAACGAACCAGGAGTTCTTGGATATCGTTCTCAGTCGCACACAGAGACAGCTCCCTACACAGATCCGTGCGGGTTTCAAGATCAGTCGTATTAGAGGTATGGCCGATTTCACAGCTTTTTGCGTGGATTTGTGAACGGATACCATATCCGTCCGATTTCATGTCCTCTAAGAAGAGTAGTGGCACTAACGAAAATTCTCTGCGCAACAACAGGTTTCTACACTCGAAAGGTCAAATACACCCAGGAAACATTCTGCGAAAAGTTCCAGGCAATTCTCGATGGATTCCCCAGATTGCAGGATATCCATCCTTTCCGTATGTTTTTTGACTCGCGATTTCATTTGCTTCGTAACTAACATCCCTCAGACAAGGATTTGATGAACACCCTTTATGACGCCGACCACTTCAGAATCGCTCTCGGCCAGGTGTCGACCGCCAAGCATCTCATCGAAACCGTGTCTCGCGACTATGTCCGTCTCATCAAATATGCTCAGTCTCTGTTTCAGTGCAAGCAGCTCAAGCGTGCCGCCTTGGGTCGTATGGCCACCATTTGCAGACGTCTGAAGGATCCCCTTGTCTATCTGGAGCAGGTTCGGCAGCATTTGGGCCGTCTCCCCTCCATCGACCCCAACACCCGTACTCTTCTGATCTGTGGATACCCCAATGTCGGAAAGTCCAGCTTCTTGCGCAGCATCACCCGTGCCGATGTCGATGTCCAGCCTTATGCTTTCACCACGAAGAGTTTGTTCGTCGGCCATTTCGACTACAAGTACCTGCGATTCCAGGCTATTGACACCCCTGGTATCCTGGACCACCCTCTGGAGGAAATGAACACGATTGAAATGCAGTCCATTACCGCTATTGCCCATCTTCGCTCTGCCATCATGTACTTCATGGATCTTTCCGAGCAATGTGGCTACTCGGTCGCCGATCAGATCAAGCTCTTCCACAGCATCAGACCACTGTTTGCCAACAAGATCGTCTTCCTGGTGGTCAACAAGATTGACGTCCGTCGTCCCGAGGATCTCGAACCGGAATACCAGGAGGAGATCCAGAAGATCCTCAAGTCGGGTGATGTGGAGATGCTGCAGCTGTCGTGCGCAACCACTGAGGGTGTCACGGCTGTGAAGAACGCTGCTTGTGACAAGCTCCTGGCCGAGCGGGTGGCTCAGAAGCTCAAGTCCGGTACCAACAGCTCCGGAACCCCAGGAGGTCGTCTGGGTGACGTGCTGGCGCGTATCCACGTGGCACAGCCTGTTGGAGGCGTGCGTGAGGCATTCATTCCCGAGGCGGTCAAGAACTTGAAGAAGTACGACAAGGACGACCCGAACCGGAAGAAGCTCGAGCGGGACATCGAGGAGGAGAACGGCGGTGCCGGTGTGTACAACGTCGACCTCAAGAAGAACTACACGCTGGCCGACGACGAGTGGAAGCACGACAAGATCCCCGAGGTCTGGAACGGCAAGAACGTCTACGACTTTGTGGACCCGGACATCGAGCAGAAGCTGGCCGCGCTGGAGGAAGAGGAGGAGAAGCTGGAGGCGGAGGGCTTCTACGACTCGGACGAGAGCGTCGAGGATGTCGAGGACGCAGACAACCGCATGAAGGCGGACCTGATCCGCGAGAAGCGCGCGCTGATGCGCAACGACGCCAAGCTGCGCAAGTCGCTCAAGAACCGGGCGGCCATCCCGCGCAGCGCCAAGGCCAAGAAGTTGTCGCAGATGGAGCAGGCTCTGGACGCGGCCGGCTACGACGCCGATGCGGCTGCCGCCCGCGCCCGCTCCCAGAGCCAGGCACGCGGCCGCACCACCACCCGCAGCGACATCGATACCGGCGACGCCATGGAGATCGACGGCTCGGATCCTCGCCAGGCGATTGCCCGCGCCAAGAGCCGCGCCCGCAGCCAGGCGGCCACCAACCGTCTGGTGGACGGTGTGACGGACACGACGTCCCGCAGCAAGGCCGAGCGCCTTCTCAAGCTGGGCCAGAAGAAGATGAACCGCATGGCCAGAGCCGGAGAAGCAGACCGACACACGACCGCCTCCTTGCCCAAGCATCTGGTACGTTCCCCCCCTCCCCTTTTTTTTCTTCTCTCTGTGATTCCCCTCATCCACTAACTTTATCACGCAACAGTACACCGGAAAGCGTACGATCGGCAAGACCCAGCGCCGGTAAAGGCATCCGCGTTGCATTCGTGGTCAGGATCGAAGTCGACGATGAGACGAAGTCCATTCCTAATCTTAGTCATATATTGTTTCGAAACGGAAACGGGTGTCAAAAATCGGCGTTGGGGTCCTTTTATCTGTGCTCTCATTCTTCCATTCTATTCCATTTCTTTCCGCCTGATTTGAATGACACCGCTTGAATACCTGGTCTATATCCCTAGAGTCAAGAATCAATTTATGGTATGGCATTAAGTATAATTGAAAATTCAAGGGTAGATCGTTGTATGTGTTTCTGCCAGCAATCAGATGTAGTGAATCGCATAGTCGAGTTGTAAACAGTTCCGCAGACTTGGATGCTTAGGGCCAGAGGAATTGCTACGTCAAGATGTAAAGTGCAAAAGTCTACCAATTGGTAACTACAGCCTATTGGCCAAATAGAGGGCAGACAGTTACAGTGCCTAAAGTGGGTTTGTACAGAAGTCGGGATGATATGAGATTTGATTTGTATTGATTGATTGATTGATGATTGATTGATGGTCTAAATGCTCCCAGTAACCGTTTAAACGCCGTATCTTTTGCAATGAGTATGCACATCAAGCGAACTAGAGTGATCCATTCATATGCAACATGGAAAAAAAACTGCAGAACCGTCCCCAGAAATACTGTACATGAGTCGAGACGGGATGTTTACTCCCGGATCTCGGTGGGCTCGTTGTGCTCGACCTGACCCTGACCCTCCTGCTTCTGATTCTCCTCGGGAGCGGGGTGCAGATCACGAATGATACCCTCGGGGGGCACCCAGCTGCTGCTCTGCCAGGGCTTGACGTGCAGGACGTACATGGTGTCGACCTCCTCGAGGGTGCGGCCCTGGGTCTCGTTGACAAAGAAGAAGACGACCAGGACGGCAGCGAAGCAGCAGGCGGCGAAGACATAACCATAAGCGAAGTCGATGGAGCTGGAGATGAAGGGGGTGAAGAAGGAGATGAGGAAGTTCCAGGTCCAGTTGGAGGCGGTTGCGATACCTATGCAGATGGCACGGTAGCGGGCGGGGTACAGCTCACCACAGATGGCCCAGACGATAGGACCCCAGGTGGTGGCGAAGCCGACGATGAAGAAGCAGGTGAAGACGATCATGGCAGCACCGGCCTGGGGGGTGTTGGAGGGATCCGCCAGATCGAGAGCAAAGTGGCCGACGGAGGCCCAGATCATGAAACAGATGAACATCCAGCCAGCACCGACCATCAGACTGTTCCGGCGGCCAAAGTGCTCGACAACGTACAGACCAGGCAAGGTCATACCGAAGTTGACAGCGCCCAGGATGATCTGGGTGACGTAGCTGTTGTTCAGACCGGTGGAGGTGAAGATACTGTTACCATAGTAGAAGATGAAGTTGGCACCGGTGAGCTGCTGCAGGGACTGCAGGGCAATGCCCAGAACGGTACGGTAGAACATGCGGGGACCGGTGAAGATCTCGTGCCAGGCAGCGACGCCGGCAGCTTTCTCCTCGTCCAGCTTGTCCTTCATCTCCTTCATCTCCTGCACAACCACACGGTGGTTGGGGCTAACGCCATAGAGCTTGCTCATGGTCTTGCGTGCCTCATCAATGCGGCCATGGCGGTAGGCAAAGCGGGGCGACTCGGGCAGGAAGAGGGTTCCCACACCAAGGATCAGGGGCCAGGCAAAGCCAATGCCCATGGTGATACGCCAGGAGGCGGTCGACTCAATGGTCTCGGTTCCGTAGTTGATCAAGTACGAGATGAAGATACCGAAGGCCACGAACAGCTGGAAGGCACTGACCATGGCACCACGGACCTGACGGGGAGCGGATTCACTCTGATACATGGGAACGATGCTGGACAGCGCACCAACACCCAGACCGGCCACCCAACGACCGAGGGCAACCTGGTACCACTTGCTATCGGTGGCCATCTGAATGATGATACCGACAATGTGGATCAGAGACCAGAAGGAAATTGAGAACTTGCGTCCCATGCGGTCAGCAATGGGAGCAGCGACCAGAGCGCCAATCATGGTACCAATCGACAGCTGTTCGAGTGGTTAGCGAAGAATGATGCGACGTTTATATGATGATCACGTACAAGACCGACGATGAGACCGTTGCGAACGTTGCTGAACTTGTATGATCCGTCGGGCTGGACCTCGGCGAATCTTCTCTTGAAGTCATCCATGGTGGTGAAACCAGAGATCTGACCTATAGTGAAATCGTGAGCGATTGTAACCGATGAGACAGGTCCTAGAGAGATAACTTACCAGTTGCGTAACCGAAAACGAAACCACCCATGGAGACGACAATACCCAGGATGAAGGACCGCCATGTAAGATACTTGACGGGACTGTCATCGATGAGGTCACTGTCCTTCTCCAGCGTCGAGTCGGCACGGGCAGGAGTAGTAGCCTGCGAGTCCTCATGCTGTTCCACGGCAGGCTTGCCGAACTTTGATAGGAGATTGGAGACACCCATGATGGCGGTTCATCCAGAGGGGGGAAAAGGCTCACGGGGATAGAGGAAAGAAAGAGAGGAAGAGAGCGAAAGGAAAAGAGGGGAGTGAGGGGAAATTATATACGGAGTCAGAGCGTTGAAAAGTCTTCATCCGTCGGCAGTAGTATTGACTTCCACCCGGGGTACGCCCATGGGCCAGAGGAATGGCAGGGGCACAATGGATGGGGACCCCATCTGGAAGAGTCGGAAAGTGACTGAAACATTGGGGATGATTGGACGGTACGCAGCGACATCAGACAAGTGAAGCTAGGGGGAGCGTCGACCAGAACGAGGGGTGGTGTTCTTGGAAAATTCTAGTGGGGAGTGGAGAAGGGGAGAGGCGAGGAGGAAGAGGAGGACAGGTGATTTCCACGAAGCAGAGACTATTCATCGGGTTGTACGTACCTGGATGGTCGGAAGTACGGAGTAATTTGAAGATCTGAATGACGGATGTGATTGGAATGCGACGATGATGAAGATGGAGTCTGAGAATTCGACGTCTCCGTGATGCCACGGGCATTTCCCGATTGGGACTCCACGTGAGCGATGGACAGTTCTCAGTACAGCACGACATGTAGTTACACCGTCAGTTACAATCTTACAGTTGGATGAATCTTGAATACAATTGCGACATACTGCCTGTATACAAACTACTGTGTTAGTGATTCCAACTCATTTGAGGTTTCATTCTTCAATCCCTTCAGGTCCCTTGATTCAGGTCCAGGCCAGCTGAAGAGCAACCTCAAGCAGGGGATCCACCATCGGCCCCTCCCTTGTGTTTAATTTCTTCATTTTTGTGTTGTAACATTGACTAAAAGGAAGTTGTATTATTACAAGCAGGTACCTCTCTCGGCTGCCTCAGCCAAGCGAAACGTTTCCAAGGTCGAGGCAGATCATGATTCAAGGCTTGAGAGCAGCGCCTAGTTTGTGGTTAGCTGACCACTAGATCATTCGGTGGGGCCGTCGGGAAGAATTTTGCTCATTGAGCCCGAGAAGACGATGCCGAGAGCAGGACAGGAAAGGCTGCAGGAAAGAGTGACGAAGAGAAGGAGAGGTAGAGGTATATCTTTTTAAGTCTGTCGATATGTATTCTAGTCACTACTTATGATTATAGCTCCAAGATAATTCTCGATATCAATGTCCTGAGAATAGATAAGCAGAGAGTGTGCTGATTCTACACTTCTACGGTGACGGACTCCGACCGATCAGGATCGGCACGCTCATTCGGACTCGGGATTGAAAGATTTCGGTGTGCCGATGGAGTACAGCAAGCCCAGCCCGAGCCATGAAAATTTTGCACGTCCTGTTCTAGTTCACCGATGGTGGATCTGCATCATACTAGTTCATAGTGGGCCTTCTTGTACATACTAGTCGGCATAGTGCGTCATTATCTCAATCTCATTGTATCTCTCTAAACTTATGATGATTCTATTATGTGTCGTCTGTTTTGTAGCATTAACTATCTCCTATTCACAAGAATCACTGTAACTGTACTTAAGTGCGCATCTCTTTCTGTCTCAAATCTGAAAACATCATCTTTAAGAAGCAACAGACCATAATTTTTAGCATCGTCTACTGATTCCGTAATGGGACCACCACCGACCCACAAGAAAAATCAGTCAACGGGTCGCATCCGTTGATCAACAGACTGATGATCAATAACTGAGACGACATAGCAAAAAAATGTGAGTTATATTTAGCGTCCGAAGTCTTCCGTAACACCCATCCAATCAATCTCAATGCCAGAACCAGGCGATCAGCATCATCATCAGCCATTGAACTTGGCTTTTCTCTTTCCTACCCTGGTCTAAGTAGTCTAGATACCCGACCAGGGACCCATCTGGCGTACCATGCAACGTGCAGGCTTCGGATATTCACCGGACTTTCTGGGATTGGGATTTCCAGGACGTAATCTTGATCGCTCGGTGATTACCGTACAGATTAGTTGACCGTTTTAGACTTCGGTGAGACTCGGCATGCCGCTTCACTCAACTCGGTAAGTGACGGGCCGACTTGTGCAGTAGTGTGGCCGTCGAGGCTGTCTTGCAAAATGGTTTGCGCATGGTGGCAATATTTGCTGTCGTAACTGTCGCGTCTCATACAGGGACGCAGTTCTCTACATAGGGTACAGTATCTGAAAAGGCGCAAAATAATCATGCGACCTTTACAATCTAAAATAGTTACTGCATTGCTTTGATCACACGTAGACAGAAGGATACCGAGTCCGATGATAAGCCGTCCGGACTATGGAGTCAGGATGCAGGAATGGCGTGGTGTAATATTGTCTGTAGTTTCCTAATGCCTTTGGCAAGGGTTGGTTCAGTCCATGAGAATGATTTTAAGTGAAAATGTGTAATGGCCGCACAGTGTAGCATCTATATGTCCTCGCACTACCTGCTACATTGCTGGGATCTAGACCTCTAGATGTTTATGGCAGCACGCAAGATATCTGGCCGAGGGTTGACCGAAGGACAGTGTTGACTCTTATCCTCATGGCCTTGTCCTTAAGACACTCCATAAACGATGACGTTAGCGTCCCATCAAGCAGGAGCATGGAGTGATATGGTAAAGGCTTGTGCCATCGACCTCATAACACTCGAAGACGCCCTGCAAACCAAGTCTGGATCGGCTGTTCCAACAGGGATGTCTATAGTGGAGCGTACTCTAACAAATCTTTTCGTTATTCATCCTTGTTGATAGTTTTATCAGTCTTCGGTCACTATGTCCTCCAACATTGGACCTTAATTCACATGCAGTCACCAACATTAGCTGTCTTAGTCAGGGCACATACAGCCTGAAAGCCAACCAATGCCCGCCCTAGCTAAGTACTCTTCTTCCCCTTCTCTCGCTCCGCCTTACGCAAAGCACGCTTCCGAATGGCCTCGTGCATGGACTTGTTCTGGCCGACAACCAACTTGCCCATCGGCTGCATCACACAGGTCAAGAACCAGGCCATCAGACCATGACTCCAGTATGGCGAAGAGCTGTACGCATAGCCCGGAGACCCTCCATTGCGACCAATCTTGGACAGCACGGCCTTGACAAAAGCCCGCGGGTCCGGGATCGTGGCGCTGGTCCGGCGCACTTTCGACATAGCCGAGGTGATAAGGTACGCCTGCACTAGCTCGACCGTGATGCCGTACGGCTCGAGCTCGGAGCCAAGGGACGTCGACCACTGCTGCAGGAAAGCCTTGCTGCCAGAGTACGTAGCCAGTAGAGGGGTGGGGAGCAGACCACCGAAGGAGCCCATCGTCAGCACGAGACCGCGCTTGCGCTGCATCATGCCGGGGATGATCAACTGCGTAGTGCGCAGGGTGCCCAGGCAGTTGATGGTCACAATATCCGTCATCTCGTCCTCGGGGGTCAGTGCGAACGGGGTAGGGATGTCATGGCTCTTGCCGACGTTGTTGATCAGGACGGCGACGTCCAGTCCATTTACTATGGCTTTGAGTTCCTCGTAGTCTGCGTCGTCGTTGGCGGCAAAGTCCATTGCCAGCGTCTTGGTCTGCACGGAGTGTTTGGTGGTGATCTCCTCGGCAAGCGTGGTGAGCTTGGAGGCAGTCCGGGACACGAGCACAATGTTGAAGCCGGCGCGAGCGAGCTGCAGAGAAAATTCCTTGCCTAATCCATCCGAGGCACCTGTAACCACTGCCCAGCTACCCTTGGGGCCGAACGAGCGGAGCTGACTACTGTCAGTACGAAAGTTGACTTTACTCGGTAACAGCATAATAATATCAAACGTACCGGTTTCCCTGGAAGCACAAACAGACTCAAGAGCACTCTGACAAATGTCAAAACTCGCGAAGCAATAAACAAGCTCCCCGTGGTAAGCAGGACCGCAGCGCCCACAGTCTGTAGGCCGGGTTCAAGGTTGAGCCCCCAATTGGACAAACAAGCTGTATACTTCGACAGGAACTCCATGGCGACGACCTCTCCCGTACTGACACTGCAGTTGTTAGGATAAAGAAGCTTGTCGGCGGGAGTACAATGCTATTATCAATTGAAGGAGCGCGCCGCACGCGGAGAAGTCAAAATTGTTGGGGAGAAACATCGCGCCAAGACCAAACATCCTCGGCCATATTACGGCGGACAGCTTATACAAAAGGTGCTTATCACTCGTTTCATGGCACATATACTAGGATATGAAAATATCTTATAGCCTGATTTAACCCATCCTATCGTATATATAGCAAGGACACGGAATACTCATATAAGAGAGCGTTATGCATACGGGGTAGAAACTAGAAGGACATTTTGTCAGGGAGATCCACTAGTGACAGGACATTCAAAACATATATACGGAGTAAGGACACTGCAATGCGACATATACTCTACAATGACTTAATATCTATCAAGGATTCAATATCCCTAAGGAAGTCTATGATGATTCGGTGGTATTCAAAGTTATCTAAAGTTCCCTACCTTAGGTACTCCTGGCTGCGGAGTGGGTTATATTGTACCAATAGTCCGCCGCACCTCGGCCCCTTAGTCTGGTGTTCACCCTCATCGTCCACAAGGTAGATGCATATGACAACCAAACTCGCTGTAACCTCATCCATTTAATAGCAGTTGCATTTCCATCTACATAATGACCAGTCTCCTCTCCTACCTACCCCCTTTCGAGGGTCTTCTGCCCAAATGGCTCGTCTTGGTACGTGTGTTTACTGCTCGACTCTGCTGTAAACAAAAATCCCAACAGAATCACAACTGACCATCCTTGCTGAACAGGTCTCCGTGGTCTCTGCGATCAACAGCCTCCAATCCTACCGTTCAGACAACTACGCCGCACAGCTCTACAATGCCAGAACCGCTGATGGCCGCTCGTTCGCAACCCCTCTGTCCTCCCGCACTTTTGGCACCTGGACCTTCCTTTCGGCCGTCGTCCGGATGTACGCGGCCTATAATATCACCACTCCCGCTGTATACGACCTTGCAATCTGGAGCTTTGGCCTTGCCCTTGTCCACTTTGTCGGCGAGTGGTTGGCTTTCGGTAGTGCGCAGCTTAAGGGGCGGTTTGTGAGCCCGTTGATTGTTGCGTCGTTGACGTTGACCTGGATGTTGACGCAGAGGGAAGCTTATCTCTCTGCGTAGAGTTTTAATAATGCTACTCGGTCTTGAACTTCTGTATGGACATGGATACCTCATCTACAACTTTGGGGTTTGGGGTACTGTTTCATCGGCTCGGTACTAAGCTGACGGAGGTCAAGACCGTATCCGTCATTCCAAGACAGGATATGGGTATTCCTAGCACTAACCTAATTATTTATACAAAAGTTGGTTCCTCAGACTCGCCTCACGCGTCCATCTTCTTCCTGTACAGCTCTCCTCGGCAAGCACGTAATCTCGCAGCCGCTTGTTCAGGGGTAATATCACGCTGGGGCTCGGCCATCATCTCATAGCTGGGTTGGTTAGCAGATATGTCAAAGGTGCGAATTGTAGAGGACTTACCCGACCAAGAATTTCCGCACGGTTGCGCTGCGCAGCAGCGGAGGGTAGAAATGCAGGTGCAGGTACGAGGCTTCGATCTCCTCGTCGGTGCCCTCGAGCGGCGCCTGGTGAATGCCCATGCTGTAAGGAAAGTGCGTCTCGAAGAGGTTGTCGTACCGTCTGGTGATCTCGGCGATGGCCTCGGCCAGCTGGGCCTTCTCGTTCTCATTGAGGTCAACAAGCGCGCGCTTGTGCTCCTTGCTGACGATCATGGTTTCGAACGGCCAGGTTGCCCACCACGGGCAGACGACCAAGAACGCTTGGTTCTCAAACACCACGCGCTCCTGCTTCCGGCATTCCAGGGCGGCATAGTTTTCCAGCATATGCTTGCCTTGGTGCTCCCGTCGGTATTTCTTCATCTGCTCCAGTTCTATCGCTGGCTCCTCAGGCAGCGAGCTGGTGGTCCAGACCTGACCGTGGGGGTGGGGGTTCGAGCAGCCCATAGCAGCGCCCTTGTTCTCGAAGATCTGCATGTACCGGTATTGCTCCTTGGGCTTGGACAAGTTGGCGGTGGGGGAGTTGGGAGGCAGTGTGGTCGCAGGAGCCACGGCGGCCAGAGGAGACTTGGGCGACAGATGGGCTGAGTAGATCTCGGTCCATGCGTCAATGACAGGGACGATCTCGGCTGGCGACAGGTCCGCCAAGGTCAGGTTATGGGCCGCGGAGAAGGTCAACACATAGCATTTGCCCGTCACAGGTTCCGCCTTGAGAAAGAATGACTCGACACCTAGGAGGATTGCGCATCAGTGACAGCTCTGTCGTTTCCTCGTCTCTGCATTTGGGAACGCACTATCTCCGCCCTCAGGGTTATAAGAAGCCTGCTCCTCCTTGACGGCACTGTAATCATTGACAAAGACAAACGTCTTCTCATACTTGGGATTGGTGTCTCCCTGCGCGCGCTTGTTACCTGGGCAGAGATAGCAAGCAGGGTCATAAGCGGGCAGGGTGGTCTTGGAGGGGCTCTCCTGCTGTCCTCTGTTTGCGCGATCACTTGGTCAATGATGTTTCATCGCCAAGAGTATCTTTTCAACTTACTGCCAAGGGCGCTTAGTCCTGTGAGGAGAGACTAGGATGTAAGATCCCCGGAGGGGGTTGAACCTCCGGTGTGAGATGTCGTCGAGAACGGTTTCAACCATCGTAGCTGATCGAGGGGATTTTCAACAAAAGACTGAACAGACCAAGCGACCTTGAGAAATGAAAAGAAGAAAGGAAAGAAAAAGGAAAACTGTTCAGTAGAGAAAGGGTTCAATGTCATCTGCCCAACCAGGAGGCCGGTCAATGCGGCGGGGCTCCGGAAAAGTTGTCGCGCGGGGTCGTCTCCGCCCGGTCCATTTTGTTTCCATTCACTGAGGCGCGCAGCACGCGACGCTCGGCTGAATATGGTCGGATAGATCAGCCAATCCGTCTGTATATGCTTCTCTCTTTGAGCACGCTTACTGCTTGATGTTACGGTCTTCATCTGAACGTGTTCTAGAGAGCTGTTATTGATACCAAGGTCGAATCCATACTACGATATCCCACGGAGTCAAATAACCCGATACCAGCGCAATCAATCAAGACATACGAGGAGAGCTCAAAATTGGCCTCGGTAAAATTCATTTTAGCCATGTTTTTCCATACTCCTAGCTCAATCGCAAACCGGGCCATTTTCCTGTTGAAGAACGGGCAGCCGAATTTTCCCACGCCGAGCCGAAACACATCATCGCAACGGACTCGGGCTGACGTCAGTAGACTAGTACCTCTCTAGGGGCTTCGGATAAATGAGGGGCAGCTCTGTTGAGCTTATCAACAACGCTTATCAGCCACAATCTGGTCTGCTTCTGATATTCGAACTGTGCCTGTCCTTGAGATTGTGGGAGATCAGTCTCATGTTCAAGGTGCCTCCTAGGATGTGCCGTCACTCTGGTCGATGAACTCCGACCAAACGCCGGGCTCCCCACGTCATCGAGGCTGGACTGGACAGCAGGATGGCTTCCAGCAAGACTTCGCAACTTCATCTCTACTCTCTGCCAAATGAGGTATTCCATGAGGGATCATAACCTTAAGTCCTTGCCGTAGACTAATATAACCTCATTTCGGATTTTAGGTCTTTGTGCACATCCTATCTCCATTTTCCACCCGTGACCTGCTCCCTTTAGCGACCATCTCCCATCGCTTTCATGACCTGGTCCTACGCATCATTCATTATCGTCTTCTGCTAGCCGCGGCCCTGAAAGAGTACAAGCTTATCCTCGAATGCTTTCACCCAAGCTCTAAGCTTACCGAACCGCACGTGTTCTGCAAGTATCTTGGCACAGATGGCTTAAGCGACCGATATGAGGGGAAGGGCTCGTTGTACGAGGACGTAGACACGGCCAAGCGACTAGGAAGACTGACCTCTCTCTATTCACGATTTCGTCCAGAGGTGACCATTGAGCAGATAGGTGGTGAAGCGAGGATAACCCCATCTTCGGGTATGAGGCCTGCGTGACAGATCCGGAAGGAAGAAAGCCATGTGTTTGGACCAGGCTGACAACAACTTTGATAGACCTCCTTGAGGGTGAACTCGGCAAAGAGGATCCGGCTGTAACAAGGCCTGTCAATCTTGAAGATTTCGAGAATTTCTCCCAGTTATGCGTCGTCGTGAGTGTGGTGAAGGTAGTGCCCGGAACTGATCTCCTTTTAAGCACCATCGAGGTCGTAGATGGCGTGGTCAGGCTCTTCCGAGACTGGTTAAGGGACCAAGGACAGAGGAGTCGTAGCGATGTCCCCAGCAACTCAACCGACGGTCCAATTCTATGGGTCGACACAGGCCAGAATGTAGGTCTCAAACTTCGGGTACGACAGAAGGAGGCCTCCCAACAGCAATTCCCTATTCTTATGCATCGTGATGAGATGCCACCTGCTAGTTATGAGGTTGATATTGAAGGTCTGGGTGATACCGCTACTCCGCGAACCAGAGCCGATGCTGACAGCTATCCACTGCAGAATTGCATATCCGTACCACACGCCTGCTACTGGCTGTTGAACAGTCACAGCAGGACCAACGAGATTACACCAGGGCTGTAATTTTTACTCAGCCTCGGGTGGAATAGAGATTGAGGACAAACACATGCTTATTCTTATCATGCATCTTCGTGAATACATTGTCTGAAGGGCGACGAGCAGCTTCTCAAAGTATCAACAGAACGTTAAAGGATATACAGGTTGCACTCTCATTGAAGGAGAATGGTGTGGCTTGCATATTTTCATTAGCTACTTCTTATATGCACTGATATAGAATTATTAAGTGGTTATATATCTCCTCTTCGCACAGGCTATTCGCGAGCTAGTTGTATAATTAGAAATGCTGTCGGATATCTCTGTGGGTAGCTGCTTGGAGACGATTTCCTGCAATATACTTATATATCTCCCTTATGAGAGCACCAGTAGTTCCAGTCATTGATGCCTTGAATTCGTATGCACTTTCTCTTAAGTGCAAGTTATGTTCCATATACGTAGTTGATGGCAGTTTTGCGAAGAATCTTACGATCAATACTTGTTTAGGATTACTTCCTCGTCGAATCTGTAGCAAAGTGATAGTATATGGTTGAGCATTCTTAAGGGCATGTAGTCATGTGCAGCTACTCTTCTCACAGTGAACAAACTTCACCTACCATGCAACAACTGCTTCCCTTCAGGTACTACATTTGCTTGAGACTCTCCATACACCGACGGCAAAAGTTCATGATCATTATTATGGAAACCCATAAAGGCCCAACTAGAGTCCTGCCGCTCAGAAGAGGCATGTTCTTTCTCATCTGGCTGCCTGTTGTTTCCGTACTGACACTCACTTCTTAATTTCAGACTGATCGAAACGCTTAGTGCTTGTCGTTGCTTCGACCTCGAACTCCTCTACCTACATTTCACACATGAGACAAAACAAACAGCCAGTTGCTGATTTCCACGCAAAACTCTGCGTCGCAGAAGGAATAGCGTTGTCGAACCAGATCTCGTTTCTTTGTCCACAATTATTCCTCCACCATGCACCACCGAAGCAATCAGAAGAAGCAACACTGCACATCGAACCCTGATTCTGCTCCTGGGAAGTCAATGTCGGTTTCGATTGGCTCGGCAGCAAACTTCCGGGTATATCTTGAAGCTCGCCTACTTGGTGGGCCCGCTTATCGGCAAGATTTGCCGGTCTCTGGTTCACGAGTCCAGACTCCAGCATAAGTCGGAGATGCCGAACACAGCAGCATTATTCTCCAGGGGGTGAAACTATCATGATAATGAGAAGAAGAGGCTTGAGAATAATAACGGGCGATGTTGATGTCTTGAGCATCTACCAATTTCTCTGGAAGCCGGCCTATTTCAGAGGTTCAGGTACGCAGCGCTGGGCCCGGTTGCCGAGCCCTGGGTTCCGTTGCTTGTTTCTATGTACAGCAGAAAAGAAAAGAATCGATCAGCTTTAGGTTACCTTACTTACCTTACCAGTCACTACGATGTCCGAATATGTTTATGCAGATCGGAATTCTCGTTGACATCCAACATCTTGCCGGGATCCGAGAAATCAATTCCAACCATATTGGTCGCTGATAATGGTCAGTACGCTTGACATCGAATTCAAACGTGCCAGTGGAGACAGAGGCGTATTTATGTTTTTCATCTCGCGGATTCTGGACCCGCAATCTACAAGAGTCTCAAATAACATTCAAGCCTTCAGTATTATTGCGTAAGGTTTATTGACTAACTGAGGCTTAGGCGAAGAACTTGATCCCTGCAATCTCTGATTCGTGAATATGTTGGATTATAATCAATTCCGTCTGTCTTGCCGAGGCTTCTTTCGGCACTCGATACCATTACCATATATCGTCTCATTATGCTTTCAAAACATACTTGGCGATCTTCATTCATGTTGCGAACAGAGAAGAAAGAGATGAAGATGCATCCAAGAAAGGAGTCATCCTAATATTTGGAGAACAAAGCTCAGGCCAAATGATCTCTGGAATCTCCGATCGAATCAGACATCGATAGGTGAGTCTATGGACTTTTAAAGGTTGAATATTAGCCTACTACCTTTTTGTTATGCGGGCTCTAACAGAAGATTGGTACAGTCGTCGCGCCAACTATGGCTGGCTTTGAAGTCGAGGCGCCCCGAGCCTCCAAGATCCCGTATTGGCGCTTGGTCTTTGATCAAAAGGTGGTCACCGACGAAGTGATCAATCACCCTTACGCTGGAAGAGGCACCGATGATGATCCCTTTGTTGTTGTTTGGATTTCTGGCGACTCGCGCAATCCGATGAATTTCAGCTCTTTTCTGAAATGGTCGCTCACGATCCTGGTCTCCTTGACTACCCTGGCGATTGCGTTGATATCTTCTGCCTACTCGGGAGGCATGGCCGAGGTCATGAAAGAGTTGGGCTCTTCAAGAGAAGTCACCACTCTAGGAATATCCCTTTTCGTCCTTGGATTTGCGTTCGGACCGCTGATTTGGGCACCGATGAGCGAAGTATTTGGTCGCCGCAACGTTTTCACCATCACTTTTTGCTTACTTACTGCCTTCAATGCTGGATGTGCCGGTTCTGGGAATATTCAAACGTTGATCATACTGAGATTCCTGGCTGGTTTCTTCGGATCGTCTCCATTTGGCAATGCAGGTGGAAGTATTGCCGATATGTTTCCGGCCGCCAAACGGGGCATTGCTATCAGCCTCTTCTCTGCCGCACCCCTTTGCGGACCGGCTATCGGCCCAATCATTGGAGGTTTCCTTGGCTCTGGTGCTGGTTGGCGCTGGGTGGAAGGGTTCTTGGCCATCTTTTCGGGTGTCATTTGGATATGCCTTTGTGTCTTTCTGCCAGAAACGTACGCCCCAGTTCTCTTGCGCAGGCGCGCTGAAAAGCTCTCGGAACTTAGTGGCAAAGTCTACCGTAGTAAGCTGGACATCGAACGAGGTAAACTGTCGCTGCAGCAGACTTTGACTACAGCACTGTCACGGCCATGGCGTCTTCTGTTCCGTGAGCCGATAGTGTTTCTATTTTGCATATATATGGCTATCATCTACGGTATCTTATACCTTTGCTTTGCCGCCTTTCCAATCGTCTTCCAGGAAGCCCGCGGTTGGAATGAAGGTATTGGAGGATTGGCTTTCCTAGGAATTCTGGTCGGTATGATCATCGCTGTCATCTACACGTTTCCAGAGAACATGCACTACGCCAAATTGTGCAGACAAACAACGGGTCACCTTCCTCCCGAAGTCCGCCTGCCACCAAGTATCATCGGTGCTATTGCCTTGCCTATCGGTCTTTTCTGGTTCGCCTGGACCAACTCGCCCTCAATTCACTGGATGGTCTCGATTGCCGCCGGAGCACCCTTTGGGTTCGGGCTAGTTCTCGTGTTTCTCAGCGTATTCAACTACCTGATAGATGCATATACTATCTACTCTGCATCCGTCCTGGCAGCAAACTCCGCCCTCCGGTCTCTCTTTGGCGCAGCCTTTCCCCTCTTCACCAGCTACCTCTACTCAGGGCTGGGTAAGTCACGTGATATCACCCCTTTGTTGACCACCCGCTAATTGCTTCGTAGGGATCCATTGGGCGTCATCGATTCCTGCGTTCCTGGCACTAGCCTGCGTCCCGATACCCATTGTGTTTTATCTATACGGCGCGCGCATCCGGAAGCGTTGCCGCTACGCCGCCGAGGCCGACGCATTCATGCAACGTCTTGCACAGAGCAGTCAGCAGGAAGCTCGACGCGAAGAGCCTGTCATCGAGAAGGCCAATGCTGCGGTGGAGGCTGCTGCGGTTGACGTGGAAAGAGATAGTGAGACTGACAGCCTGTCCACTGTTCCATCTGCGATTGATATGAGTAGGAGGGCGTCTTGCGCGTCGAAGATGTCTGGGCGCTCGCTGGGTCGCACGGCGACTCAGTATGAGGAGAATCCGTATGATATCGATCGAATAAACACTCGCAATTCTGCTATAAGTGGACATTGTCAGAGGGATTAGTTGAGAAGGGTGATGTGCATTAGCTTGTCATACCTAAAAATGCCTCATGTGTCGCCTTCATGACTTGACTCATTCTCCGTCAATCTAACTGGAGTTCCTGTCACCGCGCAGATTTTAGCTATGTGGTAGCATCTATTCTTGGCTGTTGTTGAGCAGAGCGAGAGCAGAACGTGTCGGCAGAACGCTTGTGTAAATGACGCGTTAACATGCACGACCTCTCCGAGTTATTCATACCTAGTAACCTGACCCAATTGTATATAGATGAGATCGGACAGAACCTAATCAACATTCAATCACAAGTTTGCCCGACATTGCTCGCACGAAGCAAGATGCACAATGGCGAGACATACAGGAATGTAGTCCTAACCATACATACCACGTTCAAAAGACTCCGTTGGTTTGAGATTGACGTAGCGTGTCTTATACTCCAGACTTCCAAGCCGCGACCATCCAACCCTTAGTTTTGCCGGGAGTCAACGTTGCTCAAGGATTACTTATCGGCTCATATGCCTGCGCAGACACATATCTTTTCCGTTAGCATCGCAGAACGGCGCGCCTTCCATCTATAATCCATACGCAGACTTACCGCAGACATCTGTGACATGAGCTATGAGCAAGCTCTAGTCGAACGTCAGCTTCGAGGCCTGAGATGACTCTTACGAGTATGTGGATGCCTCTCTTTCTCAGCCGCTTGATGAATCGGTCGTCATCCCGTCAGCCATCCGGGATTCGGGTAGGTCTCTATGTCGTGCAATTGCAGGGCATCTAGAAACGACGCAGTAGTTAGCGGAAGGTGTATCTGAGTCTCTACTTCTTCCGTGTACTCAATGTGTCTCCCGCGGCAATTGACTTGGCTTCCTATGTTGCGATGGAAGGTAGTGATCGTGTCTGTAAATACCTGCATTTAGGGGACTGTGGTAACGAGAGGCTGGTAGCCGGGCCCGGAAACGATCAGCAGAGACTATTTATTGTTGGTAAAGGGATGATGACCATGTTCTGGCTTTCTTGTCGTCGCAATCACCCCAAAGGCATAAGGAAATCAGTGTATGGAGATAGAATAAAGAGGATTGCGCCTGTGGCTTCATGAACATGACCGTGCGGCCAAATGATTCTCTTCAACTAGGTACATCGCCGCCAGGGCGTAGTATTCCTATGAGTAGTAAAGCGCCAGCACTTGACAGTTCTGACTGACGCCGAGATATCGCATCGCTGTGACAGCGTACTTAGGCGTCATGTGCCGTGTGAGTCGCTGAGTCGTTCACCTCTTTATCAACACACACACGAAACACAATTTTCACTTTTCTTTCTCTTCTCCTTCTCTCATCACCATCACTTTCTTCCGCAATCACCCATTCTCTCATACTCTCGTCGCTGCTCGCTTAGCTCCAAGTGTATCATCTTTCACGATCAAGTTTCATTGCTTCGTCACGTCTCATTTGTTTCGTTTAGTCTCATCACGTTCATTGCAGTCAAGGTCCAGTCAAGATGGACGAAGACGAGAAAGCCAAAGTCCTCTTCCTCACTAACAGTGAGCTGGGACAGTCTTCTGTTTGTCTGGCTGTCACTCATGAATTCCTCCTGCGTCCCGAGTATGATGTGCATATCGCCTCCTTCCCCGTGCTTGGCCCTACTGTCACGATGGTGAATGCACGTGCCAAAAGCCTCGCATCCGCTCAGCAGGAAGCTACTTTCCATCCGCTGTGCGGACTGTCGATGCAAGACGCGTACATGCAGAAGGTCGGTAACCGCCGTACTTTCAACAATCATCGTGTCGGACTGAGGGGCGCCATGAGCGCGTACAAGTCTGTGCTGATCAACGCTCTTGCTCCTTGGAACGGAAGCGAATACATGGCGGTGTACTTTCAGTGCTTTTCCGTCATTCAGGATATCCAGCCAGTCGTCGTTGTGGTTGATCCACTGTTTGCTCCGGCCATCGATGCGTGCCTCAAGCTGAAGATGCCGTATCTCGTCCTGAGTCCCAATACTCTCAAGGACCACTGTCAGCCAAGACTCGCGAACTTCTGGAAATTTCCCGCGTGAGTAGCTCCATCTTGCAGCGACTTCTTGTGTTGACTCACTTAAATAGACTCTGCTCTGGATACCTGTACCCTTTGCCCCTGCACCAGGTCATTCCCAACACCATTCTGGTTCTGGGGCTCGGACTGGCCATCCACAATTCATCTGAGCTAAAGGAGTTGAAGAGATACCGTAACGAGAACGAACTCAGCGGCAAGACCCCTGGTATGATCTCCCGCTCCGGTGACAAAACCCCATTTCTTGTCCCCTCGAAGAAAGAGTACGAGTTCTCTCGCCGTGTCCCTAGCAACTTCACTCTTTGTGGCCCCATCGTCCGTCCTTGGGACGCATTGGAAACAGAGAATGCGGATCTGGCCAGGTTTGTCCGTCGCGGTCCCACTGTCCTCGCCAACTTTGGCTCTCATGTCGTGTTCAATAATGCCACGGCCAGACAGTTCGCTGAAGGCATAGCCCTGCTGCTCGAGAGGAGGCCCGAAACCCAGATCCTCTGGAAATTGAAGTGGAATCCGGAGATTAACGTTGAGGACAAGGCATTCGAGAGCATTCGCGGCGCTATCGCAGATAGACGCGTGCGTATCACTGACTGGCTGCGTGTCGAACCCATGTCTCTCTTGATGAGCGGCCACATCGAATGCATCATTCATCACGGTGGTTCCAATTCCTTCCACGAGGCAATCAGGTGAGTCTGCGAGCCAACACTTCCGTCCTTGCAGCTTCGACTGACGATGACTTCGCAGAGCTGGCGTTCCGCAGGTCATCCTTCCCACTTGGTTCGACACTTACGACTTCGCTGCCCGCGTTGAGTGGCTGAAAATTGGTCTTTGGGCCAACAGAAAGACCGCTCCAGCTATCAATGGAAAGCACTTGGGGCGCGCTCTGATTCGAGTCTTGGCCAGCAATGACAGTCCCAGAATCTTTGCCAACGCAAAAACACTTGCCGCCCAGTTGGGTCCTCAGGAAGGACGCGTCGTCGCTTGCGAGAAAATCATCGAGGTTATCAAGGCTCAGAAGAAAGGCGAAGACAAGAAGGATCAACCTCAGAAAGACCAGGCAGGAGAGGTGAACGTGCAACAGCTGGCAGTCGGAAACGAGGAGAGAGCCCCAGAGGTGCTTACTTCATAGGAGATCGCGTTGGGAACTCTGAACGCCTTGTACTAGAGGAAGCTGTTCAGCTGTGCATGCTTCCCTGACTTCTAACCGACCCCTACAACGTTGCGGCGAAGCAGGGGTCGGTTAGAAGTCAGTGTGTTCGATCTGGGGAGGGGTCGGTCTGTTGCTGAGTTGAGATTGTAGTCTGGTGGTGGTTGAGATTCAGAACAGGTGGGAACGTGCGGACCGCGCGGGAAGGACGGATGCCGTTAACGGCCTGGGGAGAAATCGGAGGACAGTGTTTGTTTGAGTTAGAGAGGATGCACAGAGAAAGGTGCCTTACGCTCCTAGGTAGTTAAATGGAATGATTCTCCCCTCACTTTTGCCTCACGTAGAGTGTGAATTGAAGTCATCTTCTTGCCGGTACCGGCTTATCTACACTGTGTTCTCCCCGCACCGTCTACTCTGCCCCGCAGTTGTTTTCATACAATAAAGAAGGCATCTAGCATTGCCATCTTCAAACAGTTTCCTTTTTTTACTTCAGTGCTGCTGTATATTACTTCCTCCTAGTGTACCTGTGAAAATGGCTGGTGAAAGCGTAGCCTTTATTGGCCTCGGAAACATCGGACGGGTATATCTTCAAATCTATCCCACCCGATAAACAAGCTGACACAAGCCAGGGAATGAGCAAGAACATCGCTCAAAAAGGCCCCCAGTCCTCTCTCACCCTCTACAACCGCACCGTCGCCAAAGCCTCCGCATTCGCAGAATCCCTCGGCTCAACCAAAGCCCCCGTCACCGTCGCCTCCACCATCCCCGAAGCCGTCAAGGATGCCTCCATCATCTTCATCTGTGTCGGTGACGATCCCGCCCTCGACCAGATCATCACCACCATTCTCGCCGACTCCTCCCTCGACCTCACCTCCAAGGTCGTCGTCGACTGCTCAACCGTCCACCCGGACACCTCCCGCCGAATCCACGCCGCCCTAAACCCCCGCGGCGCCTCCTTCATCGCTTGTCCCGTCTTCGGCGCGCCAGCATTCGCAGACGCAGGCCAGCTGGTTGTCGTGCCCGCCGGCGATGCAGCCGCCATCAACCGCATCAGGCCATTCTTCGAGGGCGTCACTGCCCGCGCCACAATCGACATGAGTGGCCACGACGTCGGCCGCTCCAGCACCCTCAAGGTCCTGGGCAACACGCTCATCCTCAACACGGTCGAGTCAATTGCAGAGGGGCTCGTGGCGGCGGAGAAGTCCGGGCTCGGGGCTGATGTCTACCAGCAGTGGGTGCATGCGCTGGTTGGGGGCATGTTCGCGAAATACGCGGACCGGATGTGTACGGGCGACTACTACAAGCGTGAGGAGCCGCTCTTCGCGGTGGACTTGGCGCGAAAGGACCTGCGGCATGCGGCCAGCTTGGCTGAGGCGGCTGGTATGCGGCTGCGTAGTGTTGAGGTCACGGATGCGTATCTGCAGGAGGTCAAGGCCGAGAAGGGCGAGAAAGGGGATATCGCGGCTGTCTATGGAGCTATTCGGAAGGAGTCGGGGTTACCGTTTGAGAATGAGCAGTGAGCTTTAGGAATATATGGGCTACAGATCAGGATTACTGAACCAACAATCGAGTTGGATGATGAGAGTTCGTTCTGTTTAGATTATGTCAATGAATATAACTCAATTCTATAGATAGCTGCAAGACGCCTGAAAGGAGAGAAATTTTGTAGCCAGCGATAAGCAGTTTGTTGCAATCTCAGCAATGCATAATGAACTTCTTGAACTTATCCTGGCTCTAAAATCGCCTGCCTGATTAGTTACGAAGGGAGTAGATGCGGGCCTCATATGGCCTGAGTCGGACCTTCTGCTGCAGCTGATATTCATCCACATGGTAGTTGGCGATGAGCATGATAGCCAAGTCAACGTCAATCTCTTCGGGAATCTCAAAATCGGACTCTTCCGCCGACCAGTTGCAGAAGATCAAGGTGCGCCACGGCCCTTGAGTCCGCAGGAAAGAGAAGACCTTGGGGTCACTCGCATTGATAGGAATATAGACTCCGTACCACTTGGAACCTCCGGTCAGCATGTTTAACTAGCTCATCTTTCATCATTATGATTAATCATACCATCAGCGGATGTTGTTTGCGGATATGCAACAGCTTCTTGTAGTAGTTCAGGACCGAGTCGGGATCACGATTCTGAGCCTGGACGTTGACATCGGCATATTCATCGTTCATTCGGAGCCAAGGTTTGGCATCTGGTGAAGTGAAGCCTGCATTGGGCGCATTATTCCACATAATAGGGCTACGCGCATTGTCCCGTCCTTTGAGGCGAATGACATCCATCACATCGGACATGTCAGGCTCCTTGGAGGGATCTTTTTCCTTGCGAGCTTTGTACTGACTGTAAAATGAGTCAGTAAATGATAAACCAAGGGAAGATTGGCTGAAAATCGCCTACGCGTTGTAGTATCCATGGGTCTCAACATCGTTATAATCTTCAATCTTCCAGTTCTGCGGATGTGGGGTACCCAATTCCTGGCCCTGGTAGATAAAAGGGGTTCCTCTCAGAGAGAGCTGGATTGTAGCCAACATCTTGGCTGACACGGCTCTGTATCGCGGATCAGGGTTGCCAAATCGTGACACACACCGGGATTGGTCATGATTCTCAAGATACAGAGAATTCCAACCTGGGTCTCTCAGCTCTTGCTTCCCAAGGATGAATTGAGTGGTCACCTACCGTTGTTGCCCAGCATATGCTGCTGCCAAATCCTGAACACCTTCTCAAATTCCCAGAGTTCCCACTTGCGAGGCTTCCATTTGTCTCCATTTTCACCATCCAGATCCATATGGTGAAACTGGAAAACCATAGAGAGCTCCTGGCGCTCCTTGGCCACATACTGACTGGACTCGTATTCGTCCACACCACACGGCATTTCACCAACTGTGCAATTGGTGTATTTGCTCAGCACGTTGCGATTCATCTCATGCATATATTTGTGGATATTAGGGCTGGGTCTTGTCAGAGCTCAGTGCTTCGAGTTGCTTTCCCTGGGAGGCTTACCCGTTCGTGAATAATGGCACGGCAGGTTGCTCGTACTTATCAGGGTTCACAATGGGTGCATCCGGAAGACCAGGTGTCTTGGAGACAAGGTTTATAACATCAAACTAGGACAAATAGGTCTCGTCAGAAACATCTCTATTCGGGGGTCATGGTTGACATACCCGGAAGCCGTCTGTTCCTTTTTGTCCCCAGAAATCAATAACGTCGAAAATTGCATTCCGCACCTCAGGGTTGTCCCAGTTCAGGTCTGGCTGGGATGGCGAGAACAGATGCATGTCTGTTATTGGTGAGCCTTCTATCATTGGCGTAAACCCTATATCTGGAAGACTTACACCACTCGTCTGTATGCTCATCATACTTCCATGCCGGACCTATGTGATGCATTAGTATGATAGTGCATTGCTTGGCTGGCTGAATAGAGAGACTTGCTAACCTCCAAACAGACTTTCCCAATTGTTAGGAGGTAAGCGCTCTCCATTTTTGCCTATCTTTCCCCTTCGCCAGAAGTACCAGTCTCTCTTCGGGTTTTCTCGGCTTTCCTTCGACTCCAAGAACCATGCATGCTGACCAACTATTAGCAGAAGTAATGATGTTTCGGCACTAGATCCGCTCACCTGAGAGCTGGTGTGGTTGAACACCATGTCCATCATTATCTTCATTCCTCTCCTATGAATTTCTGCAGCAAGGTCTTCCCAGTCTTTCATGGTCCCATACATGGGATTGATACCCTTGTAATTTGCAATGTCGTAGCCTTGATCTTCAAGTGGTGATTCATAGATTGGCGTCAGCCACAGCATATCCGCCCCAAGATCTTTCAGATAGTCGAGCCGCTGGATGATGCCGCGAAGATCACCAATACCATCATTGTTGCTATCCTGGAACGACTGCACGTAGATCTCATAGATGATGATCTCTCGCCACCATTCTCGATCCATATCGAGAATTTGCGGCTTGAACGTGCCGGACGCCGTCACGCACTTGTTCCGAGTCGTTGGACATGGCATTTTTGCGGTTGTCGAAAAAGGTTTGTGTCTGATGAGAGAGCTTATTGGAGGCTGGTAGTATTGATGATCTGACTTAGATGATCTGGCAGATGTGGGAGGCAAGCTTCGCAACCTACAGCGGAAGGCTCTCTGAAGAAGAAATCGTCTCAGTTGAAACATCCTTGGCCGAAGCGATTGACATGGAAGAATAAGTAGTCATTTATGCAGCTGGGGCAGTATTTGCCTCCCAAGATGATCTATTTGATGGTGTCATCATCATTGATGATGTATTTTCGAAGCGTAGGACGGACATCCCATGGAATAGATATCCGTCGGACGAAGTGACCATCCTATGACCTCAACAAGACCGTTAGAAGTTGACTGGAAAACAAAGCCGCGGAGCAAATACCACCTCTCACCAGATATGCAATGATTTTGGATTTTGTAACGTTCGTGCGTCGCTCCGTCTTGTAGCATGGAAGCGCAAGCGCGAGAGAAGACGTCTCCTTTATGTCTAGCTCAGATTTTCATCCGATCAACACAGACAGGGCGCAGAGCCCTGATGCATCAAAAGAATGTCAAGAGTCAGACAGTCTCGACAAGCTGCGTTGGTGGCAGAAAGCAACCATTTATCAGGTATTGATTCAGAGCTTTCAAGACACCGATGGAGATGGCAAAGGGGACCTTCGCGGGATAGTTAATCACCTCGACTATTTCGTCGCGCTCGGTATTGACGTGGTCTGGATTTCCCCTATTTATGAATCGCCAATGCGGGACATGGGGTATGAAAACGAGCTGGACATTAAGCGTTGTGTCGAGAGACTGACGAGAAGATTGCAGGTATGACATTAGTGACTATCGAAAGGTTAATCCAGTTTTTGGAACCATGCAGGACATGGAACTCCTGATAGAGGAAACACATCGAAGAGGACTCAGGTTGATCTTGGACATCGCCCTCAATCACACTGCAACTGAGGTGAGTTCACGATGGATGATAGGATAATAATGGCGTACTGACTAGTATTCATCCAAGCACGAATGGTTCCAAACCTCTCGACGCGCTCGAAAAGATCCCAGGCTAGGTAAGCGAGACTGGTATTTTTGGAGCGAAGGGAAGCTAGATGAGTTTGGCAATCGTATACCTCCAAATAACTGGGAGAGTACATTTACTGGTATGTCCCGGAGCTTTCATGTTCATCCCTCGTCTTTAAAGCTCACTCTGTCTGGGGCAGGTTCTGTTTGGGAGTGGGACGAGCTGGCAGGCGAGTTCTGTGCGTACTTCGTCATTCTAATGTCTGAATATGGGGCTGACGGAAGATCAAGACCTGCACATTTTTGGCAAAAATCAACCCGATCTGAATTGGGATTGTGAGGAAGTACGAAAAGAACTGTACAGTGTGTTGAGGTTCTGGTTAGATAAGGGAGTGGATGGGTTCCGGGTGAGCAGTTGTGTTTGCCTTGCTGTAGCCCTCATGACTGACCACTCGTCACACTGGCGAAGCTCGACACGATGAACTTGGTGTCAAAGACATCATCCTTTCCAGATGCTCCCATCTCCAAGGAAGGTTCAATATGGCAGCCGGCAAATTACTTGTTTGCAAACGGGTATGATTACTCCACCGCAAGTTCCATTCCTGTCGGGGCTGCAAGGCTGACATGCTTTCCAAAGACCTCATATTCATGAGTACTTGCAGGAAATGCACGAGGAAGTGTTCTCCCATTATGACTGCATGACCCTAGCAGAGATGTCCTGCGGCGTCTCCGCTCCTGAAGCTGTTCGATATACATCACGATTCAATGCTCGTCCCGAACTAAACCTAGTCATTCAATTCCAGCATGTAGAGCTCGACTGCCACGATGGCGACAAGTGGATGCTGCGGGAATGGGAGCTCCCCGAATTGAAACGAATCATCAACGAGTGGCAAGAAACATTGGTTAACAATGGGGGATGGAACACAGTCTGGATGGAGAATCACGATCAGCCAAGAGGCATCTCCAGGTTTACTACCAACAGTCCGCGATTTCGGGCCCTGTGTGCCAAATTGCTAGCTCTATGGCAGTTCACGCTCCAGGGCACAAATCTCATCTTCCAGGGGCAGGAGCTAGGAATGATCAACCCGGGACTCTTTTCCGAAGAAATGAATCAAGACATTGAGACAATCCAGTATTGGAAAGCGTACGTGTCACTTATTCTGGCCAGGCACATTGACCAATTACTCACGTAACGAAGAGCTTGTGAAGAGGCAGGAACCGAAGCACCACAAAAGCTCGAGTTGGCCAAAAAGGCCATCATACAGAAAGGTCGCGATAATACTCGGATACCCATTCCGGTGAGAAGCAGCATTCACTTCACTTTGATCGCCATATCACTGACAGACATTCTTATCAGTGGACTGAGGATCCCCATGGGGGATTCACAGACCCGAAAGCCAAACCGTGGCTTCCAGCCTTTGATCATGGCGGAGAATGGTGCCACGCCAGCCAGAGACATAGTCCTGAGTCGGTCTGGTCATTCTATCGCTCCCTGATCACCATGCGAAAGGCCAACCCGACTCTGGCAAGCACACCTTTTGAGCGCTGACCATATCCTCTGATACTGACTTGCTTCCAGTACTACGGGTCATACGAATGCTTGGACGTAGAAAACCCCATCATCTGGGCTTACAAGCGAACATCCAAACACAAATGCTACCTTGTCGTGCTCAACTTCTCCGGCTGCGCCTCCTCGTGGAATTACGTAAATCACGACGTCGACTTGTCGACATCCAGGCTACTCATGTCGAACCACATGACGTGCGAAGCAAGCTCTACTCCGGACCTCATCTTTCTGAGACCGTTTGAGGGACGTCTGTACCAATTATAGCCGCATGAATTAGATATATGCTTTAATTAGGCGTGTCTTGGGTCTAGCATGCTTCTCTAACAATGGGAAGGAGACTCGGACGGCTGACCTTCATTCCTAGGTCATTACCATCTGGTCGATGTGTTCAGACATGTAGATGCATTTAGGGCAAATGGCAGTACAGGTTGGACTTTAGCTTTGTTTAGCTTATGTAACTAAAGATGGTTTTCCTTGCCATCAAATGGCCTGCTGGCCCAATGGTAAGGCGCTTGACTACGGATCAAGAGATTGCAGGTTCGAATCCTGCGTAGGTCATTTTTTTTTCAATTTCCTTCACTGCGTGCTGCTCTTTTTTTTTTTGCTTCTTTTCTCGCATTGATTTTCACCTTTGGCATTTTTTTCTTTCTGGTGTAGTTAAGAAAGGTTCATTCAAGTCATTGGATATAAGAAGCCAGGATCCTAAGCTTTCAACCCTTGGTTTAGGAAAATGTGGATCAATTCATCATCGTTTGGCAGTCGTCTTCGACTGATACTGAGCATCGATCCAATCCATCGTTAAACTACCTGCTTAGCTGCCTTGGACTCCATGTCACGATGTATCTATATGGCGCTCGGAGAATGGGCATTGCGCATACCCTTGCCTCCAACCGAAGCGATTATAGGCATATTGATGCACCTTACCGCCGTGACGCTCTTGTTTGATCCACATCGAACACAAGCCTTAAGCCACCTTCATGTGCTTTACCCCAAGTCATTGTCACTATAGACCAAGACCCCCTGCTACTCCCCTCGTACGGTTTCTGATTCGACCCTTGCCTATGAGTGATACATTCCATCCCTTACATTGAGAATGCAAGACACCAAGCACAGGAGGCGAGATAATCAACTTTCGCGCTTATGAGCTCGTGTAGTGTGCATGAGACAGACATTGTCGAGCAGATACACAGTTGAAGGCTGCTTGCGAGACAACCATTAGACATTAGAAGTTAGTAAATTAGATCTGTGTCGATTACGCAGGACTGTGAAGTCCGTTGATCAGCAGAAACTTCACCATAGGGGCCAGCGTTAGATAAGGAAGTGATACATGATCCGGCTCCTGGAATGTAGCCATGATCTAGGGGTAACAAACGCGATGACTCGTCGCGTCTGGTATTAACAGCTCCTACAAGTCATAAACCTCGTGGAGACCATAAAACATTTCACTGACCCGTTGCGCACATCCGTTGAGTCTTCGACAGTACGTGCAATATCGAAAACAGTAAGTCGCATCGCAGCTTCATACCTGCGTTTCAACTGACCCAGTCCAGACTAACAGAAGCACAAGCAAGATGGTCAAGTCATCCACTGTAGTCATTACCCTGCTCGTGGCCATGGCGGCAGCAGCACCTATTCCCGTGAGTCTACCCTGTTATATCAGAAGCAGCAGCTCGGTCCTCACTGATAGTTCAAAACTGGCAGATCGGGGCGAAGAATACTCCCTCCCACTTGAACGATAACAAGCCCCGGCTAGAGTCCCCCACGCTCGGCAATCTCCTGCTGAATCCGGAGATTTTCAAATCTTTCAATTTTTCTGGTCTGGTTAAGCCTGTCGGAGACGCACTCGCTAACCCTCCAACACTCGCTCCCCTTCCATCGTGACGTGATGATCACTACCGCAATTGAGACTGCGGGATCGATGTGAATTAGAAAAAAGTCAAGGGTCAGATCATAACAAGTCATTCTTCTCGTTAACGTTCATACACTCGTAAAAATGCCTCAAAAGTACAACTGCTCAGCAGAAGCGAGGGACTCTGAAGTTCTCTCGGCTGTAGGTCCGAGTTAAACAGGTCTTCGACCGCAAAACAACAAAGAAAGGAACGAGGTACCGCAGCAGAACAGTGGTCATCTGATAGTAATCGTCCAAAATTCAAAAGGTAAACGAACGCTTGGGGGTATCAATATGAAAGAGTGTCTTGAGTTGTGAGCGCATTCCGAGGAAGATCAATAATCCTCGTCCAGATCCAGATCGTCCACCTCAACCCGAGTCCCCAAGGCTTGTTTCCCTTCCTTAATCATCGCTTGAAGCTGCTCGTTGAGTCGTTGCAAACTAGCGTCTTCTTCGCGCTCCATGCGGCGCATCCGAGCCACGTAGCGCTGCGTTTCCACTGAAACAGGACTCTCGCGCGGCTTTGCTGGGGAGGAAAATTGTGATCTGGTTGGAGTTGATGGCATGATCCTTTTCCCAGACCGAGGCATCGTCACGCCTGATCTGCGACGAGTATGGGATGGGACGACTCCATGCCGGCGACTCACGCGTCGAGCAGTTACAGGGGATGGACTGACCACCTGCAAGAACCCATCCTGAGTATCTTCATGAACCATGACCCAATTCTGTTGAATTTCATCCTTCGGAAACCGGCCAGGGACAGGTAATGATCCGTCTCGCTGATGGGTGACATCGTTGGATGCCATGTAGTCCTCCTTTTCAGTTGACACTGGTGCCTCCCAGTTTTCATCAGGTTGGGCTCTCAAACCAGAATCGGCTCCCATACTGTATCCCCGGCCACCTCCAGCGTAGAAGCCTCGGAAAGCACCCGACCAGCAGAACTCCCACACTTTGCCAACGACATTGAAGACTGCCCGGCTCCAGCTGACGGGCTCAGATTGCGAGCTGTTCTTCTCATCATGGGTAGGTTGCCTGGGGCTGGATGGCAAATTCGAATCCCGACGATTGCGTTTGCGACTGGGTCCACAGGCCTCACTGGGGGTCAAGGACTCGATACTGACATCGAGAGGAGCCGGAAGAGGATGATCTCGATAGCGACTGGGACGGTAGTCGACCTCTGCAGGATTCTCGCGGCGTACAAGCCAGGGACCGCGGGAGAACTGTTGATGGTAATACGGCTGTTGCTGATAGTTGTATTCTTCCCCGCTGGCGAGATGATAGTCGGTGTTGACCAAAGGAGCGGGGCTGGCGAGATCGACGGGGGAGTCATAGAAAGGACGCCTTTCCCCGGATTCAAAGCGAGACCGCTTGCGGCTGGGAAGGGAGATGGAGCGATAGAGCGATGACGATGCTGACGGAGTTTGAGGGACTTGAAATAGTTGAGAAGGAGCGGCAGCCAGATCGAGTTTGGGAGGGACGGGAGAATCAAGAAAGAAGTCTGGCATTTCTCTAGATACCTCTTCTAGAGGAGAGAAACTAGACTAACTCTAGAAGAACGAATGATATTGGCGATGATGATGTTGACAAGTACTTGGTGTGTTGGGAGAGATAAATCTGATGAGGCGGGAAAGAAAAGCGAAAGAGAGAAAAGAGTATGAAGATGGCTGGGAGAGACGCATAGACCACTCTTCTTTTGGTCACCTTATGATACCTAAGAAGCAGCGATGATGTTAATGTGATGGATCTATCATTATTCTTTTTTCTTTGTTTCTACAACAACCACCACTCGCTATAGATCAATTCACATTTCGTCATTTACAGTGTATATGCATCAGCTTGGCGATGATCATAGATGTTCACAGTTTTTGACTAGTCCACTGCACTCCAGCAGCGTCCAATCCTTCTTCTCCATCCACCAACACACACCAGCCTTCGTGGCCTCGTCCTCCATCTCCTGCAATCGCTGCTTCAAAGTGGTCTCGGGCATATTCCAACACTGCATCGTCAAAGGTCCCCGGCTGCAACCAGACCGCCGGGATCCCGACCGAATGAGCCTCCTGAAGCAGAGGCAGCGTTACCGCAGGAGGAGTGACAACCGACAGCGAGGTTTGAGAGGGAGAAGGCAGAGCGCTGGGCGAAGGGACCGTCTGATAAGACTTGGAGGGGAGATTGATCTGTGGTGCTCGAGGATTCAAGGGAGTGACGGGCAGAGAGTGGTGATGATACCAAGCAAGGACTATCAGTATTCCGATGTCAGCGATTCAATGGTCGAACCTTGATAGATTGAAGATCCGTATGCCATGCTGCCTTCAATGATAACTCACTCTTGTAGCCGAACTTGTTCGCATCGTTGCTGGCTCCAGCAACCGCAAAGCGCGGGGAAGAGAAGAATCGTTTGACGGCGTCCATGAAGATTACGCGTTGGCGACAAAACTAGGCACTGATGCAGTAGTGACTGAAGTTTCGTATTTCAAAAATATATGTGAGCGATGATTTGGAGTCCAGGAGATCGAATCTATACCAGTTATCGTCTGTCGAAATGAAGAATATGGCTCCACTTGGAGAATGTGGAGATCTTTATGGGTTTCCTTCCGTCATTCATCCTCGGTTGTTCCACCTGTCGCCACGCCGTTCTTTTATCTTTTCTTCGATATTCCGAGCCAATCTCATCATCTCTTGTTGACATTTCGCCATTTTGCAACCTTGATCTTCACGGCTCCATCGCATGCCACCCTTCGTTCCCCGTAAGCGTGTCTCTTCCGAGGATCCGCCCACGGCCAAGCGTCAGAATGCCACCCCCATCGTGGAGATCGCAGACTTTGACGAAGACTCTGACTCCGATTCATCCTTAAGTGATGCGCCTAGCTTTGACGACGAACCACATCCGAAAAGGGACCTTGAGAAACAGAAGAAACAAGCCTCCGATGGCTCCGAATCCGAGTCCGAGTCCGACGACGACGACGAGGTGGATTGGGAGGACGCGATGGACTCCAAATTCACCTCTACGTCGATCTCGACGCCGGCTCCTGCTGTGCAAGATCTCGAATTGACATTGGACAAGAATGAGGTACATCTGGCTGATATCGCAGATGGGAAGAAGGGTCCATCCAAGATTGAGCGCCAAATTCGCATCGCCACGCATTGTCTACACGTCCAATTCCTACTTTACCACAACGCCGTGCGCAACGCCTGGGCAAACGATACCAAAGTCCACGATATCTTACGTCAAAAGATCCCTGCTGGAATTCATAAGGAGGTCAAGAGATGGCGCGTCGCCTCCGGTCTCGACCCTCCCGAGAAGAAGCCGGAGATAAAGTCCAAGAAAAAGAAAGGCAAAACTCGGAAATCAGATCGGGATTGGAGTGAAGGCTCATCGCGCGTAGAGCCTGGGAAGCCGGATATGAGTCGCGGGGATCCGATCATCTCATTGCTTAGAATATTGGCCGCTTACTGGAGAAAGCAATTCAAGATTACCGCGCCGGGACTACGAAAGGGTGGTTATCGGCCGATGGCTCGCCTGGAAGCCGAAATATCTTCTTTCCAAAAAGACGAACACGATCCTGAGAGACATGGGGAGCGAATACGCGATATAGAAGAGTTCCGGTCTGCAGCAGAGCGAATGGAGGGCTCTCGAGATCTTGGGGCTCAGCTGTTCACCGCGCTGGTCCGCGCTCTAGGTATGGAAGCCCGTCTGGTCGCCAATCTGCAGCCCCTTGGATTTGGCTGGACCAAAGCGGAGGCTTACACGCCGAGACCCAAAGTGGAAGAAGGGACTGTGGAGGAAAATGGGGGGTCTGAGACTATAGTTGGTCTAGAATCCGACAGCAGTGACTCTGAGAGCGCTCCCGCCCATAAGTACAATCCCAAAAAATACGACAAGGACCTTCCCTTTCCCATCTATTGGACTGAGGTAGCCTCACCCGTCACTCACGAGATAATCCCTATTGATCCTCTGATACTGTCAAACCCTGTGGCAACAACTCCAGAGCTGCAGGCTGCATTTGAGCCTCGTGGGGCCAAAGCTGAGAAGGCCAAGCAGGTCATATGCTACGTTGTTGCGTACTCTTCCGACAAGACTGCTAAGGATGTTACGACACGCTACCTCCGCCGTCGAACCTGGCCAGGCAAGACCAAGGGCTATCGCATACCAGTAGAGAGAATTCCTGTTCCCGGCCGGAAGAGAAAGTTTTTCGAGTATGACTGGTTTCGGACCATTTTGCGGGTGTATGAGCGCTCCGAGAAAAATCGCACGAAAGTCGATGAGGTCGAAGACGCTACAGACCTACGCCCTAACCAACCCGAGAAAAAACAGGTCAAGGAAGGGGACACGCTGCAGAGCCTTCGTTCGTCGACTGAATTCGTCCTGGAGCGATTTCTGCGCCGCGAAGAAGCCCTTCGACCTGGGGCCCAGCCTGTCCGCACGTTTGTGAGCGGCAAGGGCGACAAGGCCAAAGAGGAGAAGGTCTACCGGCGAGCTGATGTTCTCAAGTGCCTGTCCGCTGAGAGCTGGCACAAGGAAGGACGCCAGATCAAGATGGGGGAAGCCCCGCTGAAACTGGTGCCAATCCGCGCCGTCACCCTTCTCCGGAAGCGCGAAGTCGACGAGATGGAACGCGAAACGGGCGAGAAGCCCAAGCAAGGCCTATATGCCAAGTACCAGACCGAATACATAATACCACCACCAATTCGGGACGGCATCATCCCCAAAAACGAATACGGCAACATCGACTGCTTCGTACCCAGCATGGTACCCCGCGGTGCCGTCCACATTCCGTGGCCAGGCACAGTACGCATCTGCAAGAAGCTTGGCATCGACTACGCGGAAGCGGTCACCGGCTTCGAGTTCGGGTCCAAGATGGCCGTCCCCGTCATCCAGGGCGTGGTTGTAGCCTCCGAGAACGAAGATCTTGTCAAGGACGCCTGGCGCGTCGAAGACGCCGAGAAACGGAAGAAGGAGCAACTCAAGGCCGAGAAACGCATCCTCCAGACATGGCGCAAGTTCCTCTTCGGGCTGCGCATCGCGGAGCGCGTTCGCGAGGAGTACGGAGCCGAAGACGGAGACGGAGACATGGAGCGCGAATCTCATAACCCATTCGCAAGCCGACAGGCACGAAGTCAAGCCCGTCCACCCCCTGTTCCGGAGGCCTTGCATGACTGGCATGGGGAACCTGCCGACCGTGGCGGTGGCTTCCTTCTTCCTGGTGAAGACGACGGCGACGACGGCGACCTGGTCGTTGAGGATCACCATCCACGCCAGACTCATCCGCCCGTGCAGCAAACTGAAGCTCTAAGCGAGGACGAGGATGAGGAGGGGCCCGGTCACGATGCCATTAGCATCAGCTCCGACGGACCCGGCGATCTCTCGCCTCCACAGCAGATATCGGATTCTGAAGCGGCCGAGCCGTCAGCATCTGCTTCCGATTATGAGCCACCCTCGACGCGCAGGCGCACTCGGAATCCGGGTCGAAGGACAAGGGGCAAATCATAATGAATTTCAGGCGGGTACGGTCAGGCGTTTATGCAGATAAAGATTGCTTCGGGGTACACGGCACTGGGCGGGACTCTGGGATGGATGCACAGGATGACTTATGTACAATTACTCTATCATACGATGAACACGAATGAACTAATGATCTACATTCCGCGAGACAACCTTATATACATTTCACGCAATATATGCACACCACCAACGTAGACCAGTTTGGACAATGTAGATTCACAAATAAATAGGAAGCATCATATCCTCCGCCCACGAGCAGACGGGGAAGCAATCAGGTCCATCTCCTCAAGGTCTCCAATGGAGTCCTCATCTGCATCCGGATCAAACTCCTCCAACGGTGCTACATGCACCGCCGGCGAGGCAATAGGACTATGCGCGACGCGCGGCCGTGACTTGAAAACGCTATTGTAGTCCGCCTCCTCCTCGAACAGCTCGTCCCGCGGAGTTGACGCCCGAGTCTGCGACAGTTTCTCGGGTGTTTCGAACTGGTTGACGGGAAGGGAGACACGCGACTTGCGCGAGCGACGGGGCTGCTGTGGGGGTCGGCTGCTCGGAGGCGGAAGCAGCGACATGGATTTGCGGGTGCGTTCGACGAGGGTGAACGTGTTGAGGCGGGGGTCGTGTCTGGGTTCACTGTCAGGGTCGGGCGTGATTTGAACGGCAGGCGAGCTTGTTCCAGCTGATTGGTTGTCCGGTGAAGGGACGGCCTCGTTTTCATTCAATTCTTTACAGTAGGAAGGTCTGGAGTATTGTGAAATCGAGGGTTTGGCTGATTCAGCGTCGGACGGTATTGTGATGGTTGGCTCCATGGCAGGGACACGCAGTGGAGGGCCGGCTCGTCCAGAAGAACGAGGCTTACCGTCGATGCGGGAAAGAGCTTCATTCATCGACTGTAGAAGGGCCTGGTCGTCTTGTCGGGGAGCAGCTCGAGCTAGCGGCTGGCGAACGGCCTTTGAGATGCTGGCCACGGTGAGAGCCTGGTGGTCCTTGAATGCCAGTGGCGCCTTGTTTGCTGTATTTTCCGACATCTGGGCGCCAGCACCATCTTTCTCGCGCATGGAGTGGGCGACCTCGCGCCATTTCTGCAACCGATTGCGCTGACGCGCGATGCGGGACTCCAAGTCAACCAGCAGGTCGGGCGTCGTGCTGACGGTCAGATCCTCCACGGTCGTCTCGTTTGCCTTGGACCATGCTGCTGCAAACGGCAGCTCTAAGAAGGCATCACTGCTACTGCGAGCGCCGCCCTGGAGCAGGGTATCAGCCCACTCCTCGCTACCCATCCAATTCTCTTTCAGCTCGCGTGCTAGGGCATCAAGGTTGGCGACATCCTTGGGAAGAGCAGGCAGACCCTCTTTAGAACTATCGTCTAGCTGAGTCTTCTTGCTGTCCAGCAGCTGAGAGAACTTCTCATGAAGGTCCATAATCCGGGACCGACGTCCACCCATTGTGGCCAGAGAGACACGATGGGCAAGAATCAGCGGCAGCATCAGCTGATACTCATCCGGAGTGACGCCCTTAGCCATGGACAATCTCACGGCAGGATTTGGCAGACCGTCCATCGACGAAGCCAGGACCTTGCGCAAGACGGCGGTGGAGAAGACGGCCAGGAGCTCATCGACCTTCTCCCCTTTGCAATCGTCCAACATGGACTTGCGAAAGATAGTTTCCCTGCCGAGATCGCCATTCTTCTTCAGATCTGAAAGTACTCGAGATAGAGCGGCACGAAGATTGACCGATTGTAGCGGCTCCAACGGAGGGTAGAAAGGACGGAGTTTCTAGCAACGGTAGCTGGTCAGATTCATGCGCTTAGTGGACAATGATTGCAAATCATCACATACATCGTGAGCAAGCTTAGGATCCCAGAGGACTACCAGGTGATACAGAGCCCATTCGACCGCTCTAATACGCTGGCGCTGGTTCTGCGATGAGGGCGAAAGAGAGCGGACAGTAATGTCGGGCCAGTCGGGTTGAAGGTCAAGTTGCAGCAGCTTCAAATTGCGAATGAAGACGCATGTGTGTGATGGGTGAGCCCAATTAAGAGATTTGGGCCGGAGAGGTTGTTTCGAGGACTGCATGGTGGATGCGTGCAGATGATATGGGGGGGGGGGAATAATAATGTCAACAAAGCTTCCATGGTCCGAAGATCCAGCACACACTATGAAGAACTCCACTATTACGGCGTCGTCTCAGAACCGGGAGGGGCACAAGTTATCCATTGGCACATCATTTGCATATCATTATTTACTTCAACACAGTATTCATTTCCCAGAGCTATTACCGGTCATCCTGTCCTCAAGCGATACTGGAGCTTCAATATGGAATAGCATGGTGTAATCACGTGAATTAGGTCCTGAAATGTTCGTGTTTGAAGCAGAAGAATGCATGACTATCATCCGCAAAAAATTCTCCTAGCTTATTTATATCATATCAGAATATGCATCTTAAGGTATCTTGTCTCCAATGGCTATTCATGGATTGAATCAGTCTGATAGTCCCTGACAATTCTCCAATCCTTACAGAGGTACCTCTCTACAAGGCTGGCTTGTTGTTTATCTGCACGATAAGCAGTTTGCATGGTTTGCATTGGAGGCCCAATCAGGAGCATCACAATTAACACGACTGACGACGACTGACAAATAGATAGAAGGTTGGTTTATAGAATTGACAGGCAAGTATAAAAGGCGGACTGTAACAGAAGTAGGTGATAATTTTCCATAACCATTAAGATTGCCTGTGGCTGCTGCGCCGTCTGCTTGTTCCCCCCCTCCTACCAAGTTGGCGGTGACAAGAAAGAGATCTCCCCGCAGAGATCTTCCCTTTTCTTCCCTCTCTCATTTGACCCCAACTTTTAATTCTTTATCACCGCAGTCGCTTCTATTCTCATATATCCCATTGCGCTGCGCATTATTTCACAGTCTCTCTTTCCATTGATATCAGATCATCCAGTCTTTGAATTAGCTGTATCTCTCCACTCAAATCGTTACCAGCGTACCCCTCATCCAACAGCATCATGGGTTCCGACGCACCTTCCGATCCTCTCTGGACCACTCAGTCAGGTATGATCCACCTAGTTACTTCAATGCTAATCTCCGTCCTTGGTGGTTCTAATTACTTGTAGTGTTGTCCACACTACCTCACCCTCCCGAAGAAAACTCCGCCTCCCCAATACCATTTTTCCACCTCCTCGAACGTCTAAAGACCACCAAGCGCGAAGGCTGGCGTCGCTTTGGTATCAGCACCGGCGAATCGATTTCTGACCACATGTACCGCATGTCAATCATGACCATGCTTGCACCTCCTACACTTGCCTCCCGCCTTAACCTGCCCCACTGCATGAAGATGGCGCTTATCCATGACATGGCCGAGTCGATTGTGGGTGACATCACCCCTGTGGACAAGGTCAACAAGACCGAAAAGGCGCGCCGCGAGGCCGAAGTGATGGACTACATTGCGAAGAACCTGCTTGGCGGTGTACCTGGAGGCATGTTGACGGGCGAGGAGATTCTGAAGGTCTTCAACGAATACGAAGCGAACGAAACTCTTGAGGCGCAATTTGTGCACGACGTCGATAAGATGGAGCTATTGCTGCAGATGCTCGAGTACGAGCGCACCCACAAGGTTGACCTCTCGGAGTTCTGTCACGTTGCCGGTCGTATCCAGCTGGACGAGGTCAAGGAATGGGCGGCCGCTGTTCTCAAGGAGCGGGAGGCTTTCTGGAAAGGAATGGCCGCGAACACGAATGGTACAGCATAGACGACTTATCGCAGGAGGCAGGAAGGTTGAGTGTATTCGTACTTGGCGTCATTCTTTACATTTTGAGTTTGGTCCATCATCCACCGAGCCCGGCCGGTGGAGGCGTTTGGGTTGGCATTCTAGAATTAGATCGGATAGTGTGTGATAGCATGAGTCTAGGTATGAGCCATATGGGTATCATGACATTCAACGAGGCACGGTTGACAGTTCATAATGAATCTAATATATATTCTCCAAGTATGTTATAGAACCAGCTATAAGCCACCGCCATAATCACCCCACAATCTCCCTCTCCATCCTCTCCATCTCCCTCGCCAACATCTCCGCCTCAGCCTCCATCTCCTCCATACTCCTCGGCGACCGCCCCTCATTATCAACAGCAGGGAACTTCGCTCTCGGCCTCCTCTCACCCTCCTTCCCCTCCCCAAACGCCCGCCTCAGATCCCCCTCCTCCCCATCCAACAAATGATAAACCGCATCTATCCCACCCCGATGGTCCAGATCCGCCCGTTTCCGCGGGATGATGTGGGCATGCACATGCGCCACGCTCTGCCCCGCCTCCGGCCCGTCCTGCACAGCGATATTTAGACTCGACGCGCCGTACACGCGCTCAACCATCCGTCCGACCCGCTGCACGGTAAGGAAGAGATCGCTCGTTTCGGCGGCGGTCAGGTCCGCGACGCGGGGAACGCGCCGGCGCGAGGAAACGAGGACGTGGCCCGGGAGGATGGGTTTGAGGTTTACGAGGGCGAAGGAGAGTGGTGTGAGGTGGAAGACCTTGTGGACTGTTAGACTGATAATCTTCCGGTGAGGGATGGGAGGGTACTTTACCTGGGAGGTGACGAGGAATGGGCCAAAGTAGATCTGGGCGCCTTTGAGGGCGGCGGACATGGCGGGGACGGGGTCTCGGACGGACATGAAACTTTATTTTTTATCGGTTCGGAAATGGGCTGGTCAGGGATTAAGGATATGCTTGGGGAGGAGTAAGGGGAGATCCCATTCGAAGGCGGATGTTTTGGTGGTTTAGGTTACTTATGATGCGGAGTCGAGTCGGAGAAGCTATGCGGGACCTGGCTTGATAGCGGGACCAGCTGGCTGAGCGTTATCGAAGCCTTCCCCATGAGGTATACAACTATGTACTACAACAGATAGCAAGGCCACTGTTGGCAACACTCTGCAAATAATGGGTATCATTAATTTCTAGACAGCCTCAATTGTATATTACATGTCGATTGAGTCTCCACCTGGCTCAATTGAGAGTGGGAGTAATCGCATCATAGAGATAAATAAGCCTCGAACAAAGTTGATCTCAAGCCTCCTTGGCTGGCTCCGTCGCTGGCTCAGGCTCCTGCTCGGTTGTCGTCTGAGCTTCAGGCTCTTGCTGGGTCTGTTCAGTAGCTGCTTCCTCTACAGGCGAGAGCGTTTTCTCTTCGCTTGCTTCTGTGCTGTCTTCTGTACTGGCTTGTGTCTCTGCTTGCGACTCCTCGGCCTTGGGTGCTTCCGGTTCCTCAGGCGGCTGGACGGCTTCCGGCTCATCCTTTGCTGCTGTTTCTGTATTCCTATTTGAGGGCTTCCCCTCTCCGTCCTCTTGCACCTCTTCAACGGTAACCTGCGACTCGGCTGGGTCTTGTGCGGGTGCATCGGCAGCTTCCTTTTGCTCCTCACTTGCAACCTCTTCTGCAGGCTGTGGTTCAGACTCAACCTCGGGTACAGCCTCAGTAGATTTTTCATCCTTTGACTCCATCACAGGCTCCGCCTTCTGCTGCTCTTCCGATTCCTCGGTACCCTCACTGATCGTCGTAACGCGAGAACTGATGGACGCGCTATTCTTGTGGCGCCGGGTGGTTGCACCAGTGCTAATGGACGAAGGCTCAATGTTCTCCAGCGGGCCCTCGCTGTCCTTTCGTAGGATCGTCATCCGACGGTTGTCTGCCTGCTCCTGCATTGACTGATTGGCATCGAGCCCCTCGGCTTCAGCAGGCACCGTATAATTGTCTTCAGGGATAAGCTTGTACATATCGCACACCGTCTTGAAAAATATGTACAGCCCATCATTACCCTCAACCTGCCAGAACACATCCCGGTGCTGGAACCAGGCATGGGCGAAGATGCGATACAGTCGACGGAATATGTTGGTCAGGTACCTCAGGCTTGCCTGCGCGCCACCGCCTGCCTCGGAACCCAGCGTAAGGCGACTTGGAAAATGCTTTGGAGATGTGAGGATGTTGGTGGCCCAATCGAGCGTATGGCAGCAGTAGTCGATCGCGCAGCAGGATTTCGGGGGGTCATGAACGGCGCAAAGATACTGCCACTCGGATGCACGCATCTCAGGACACGTTTGCGCGGAGCATGGCGGGTCTTCGGCGAAGAAAGCAACGATCAGGTTATTCACTTTCATGGTGAGGAAACGACAGAGTTCGTAGAGCCACAGGGACCTGTCCACCCCCTCGGGCGGTTCCGCAAGCTGTATCGCAACATCTCGACTGATAGGCACGACGGTCTCGGATCCCTCTGGTCGGGTGAAGTGGTTGTAGAGCGCTTTCAGGTGTTCTTGAAGCTGGAATGGAGAGTCGAGCTGTTGGACAACAGAGGGCCTGGTTAGCGAAGATAAACACCTTTGGCTTGTTTGTTTACACGAGCTCACCTGCGACAAAGGAATCAATGGAGGACCGACTGCCATATCAGCTGCCTTAGTTCCAGGACGAATCCTTCGAGAAGAAGCATTGTCATTGCCCTTCGACGCTGCGAGAAATTCTTGCGTCTCTCTCCCAAACGAATCGCCGACCGAGGGTGACTTGGGCCCGATCTGTACCTCCGTGAACGGGGGAGGACTAGGTAAGCGCGGCGAGCTGGACGGCGACGCCCCACCAGCAGCCATGGTGAAGATGAAGAAGGAATAAAAATAAAAACTCAAGACACGGCCTGTCACTGTCAGGACGGCGGCCACTAGACACTGATGCTGGTGGTGATTGATGGAGAGCTACTGCTGCGGAGCTCGATGGCCGAGACCACCGCCAGGATCCTTAGGCTCCAAGGCTCTAAGGCTACCGTAGCCCGAAGCCAATGACCGGGGAAGCCCTGAGCCCTAACTGCTGCCTCCGCTCCGAGAACAGACGTCATTCTTCCCCGCAGGATTAAGGTACGGTGATCACTTCATAGTTCATAGACCGTTTGAGTGAACTTTCATCTCAAACTCAAACCATGCCGGCAGATATTATCGACGACGATGATGCTCCCCCAGAGCTGGTGGATGTGTCCGCCCTACCGGACTCGGAAAAGCCCAATATTTCCACGACACCGTCTACAACATTAGACACGCCGGCACAGGACCGCGTGCCAATCACTCTGGTAACGGGTATAACTTTATCAGAAATGAACTTCTTATGCTTGAGGCTCACAAAATGACAAGGCTATCTCGGTGCGGGCAAGACTACCTTGCTTAATTACATCTTGAGTGAGAAACATGGCAAAAAGATAGCCGTGATCATGAACGGTTTGTTGTCCAGGATCTTGCAAAGAAACATGACTGATATGTATTTCTAGAGTTCGGGGATTGTAAAGTTGGCACGGCATGACACAATTCAGCCATTAAACTAACTTGACTCCAGCGACGGACATCGAAAAGCCATTGACGGTCAACCAGAACGGCCAAGAGGTCACCGAGTGGATGGAAGTCGGAAACGGCTGCATCTGCTGTTCCGTCAAGTAAGCGCTGCTCCCCCAAGCTCTCAAGACAAGGTGACTGAGCAGCTGGTCGGCAGAGACTCCGGCGTCATGGCCATCGAGTCACTCATGGAGCGCCGGGGAACATTCGACTACATCCTCCTAGAGACAACGGGGCTCGCCGACCCAGGCAACCTCGCCCCCGTTTTCTGGGTAGACGATAACCTCGGCAGCTCCATCTACCTGGACGGAATTGTCACCCTAGTCGACGCGAAGAACATCCTCCGTCTACTGGACGAGCCCGCGCCAGAGGAAACCGCAACGAGCCATACCGACGGAACGGAGAACGAGGGCCCCGGGCACTCGGGTCCTGTGCTTTCCATGGCGCACATGCAGATCTCCCACGCGGACGTGATCATCCTGAACAAGGCGGATCTCGTCACCCAGGAGGAACTCGACCACGTTCGCTCCCGCATCCTGGCGATCAACAGCGTCGCCAAAATCCACGTCACAGACCACAGCAGGACACCACAGATTGAGGGCGTCGTGCTGGATCTCCATGCATACGACCATCTGGATAGCCTGGACTTTGGAGCCAAGGGACACAGTCACATCGACCCGGTAATACTACACTTGCTCTCATCAGTAACCATCTGCTAATATCCTATAGGCAATATCAACAATCGCCATAATCATACCCCCTATACCCGCCGACAAGGTCTCACGGGTAGATGCCTGGCTCCAATCCGTTCTATGGGAATCAAAAATCCCAGTAATGGACAATATCGATACTTCTAGCCTCAATAATTTCGAGATCCATCGTCTAAAAGGCATTTTAGTCTTCCAAGACGGGTCCTGTAAGATTATCCAGGCTGTTCGGGAAGTCTTCGAGATCCGAGACTCGGAGCCAACCACAAGCGGCGGGGGCGACTGCAAGCTCGTTCTGATCGGCCGGGGCTTGGGACAGGATGCGCAGCCGTGGCGGAGGAATTTTGAGGCGTTCCTGGAGGCTGGCCCGTAGCGCAGCGTTTAGAGGCGTGATAGCCGAGAGAGTGTACACGCCGCTTGGTACGAGTCATCTGCAAGACATTCTATTTCCAGCCAGGAGCAAACACGCGGCAAGGCCGAAGCTGCAAAGAACAGCTTTACCGAATGAGGTGGCCACACAGCGACCCAAAGCACATAGGGCAGCTCAATGCCCTCTAACGTACCTGCGCCCTGCATGATCCATATCTTTGCAACAAAAAGGTATCAATTAAAATTTTGATAAGATAAATACAGCTTCATGAAAGAGAAAAATGACACGGACATCGCAAAAGTATACAATGGAACCACTTGCAAAGGGAGGAAAACATATCAGATGACATCCGCCAATCGTATTATCATGAGAAGATCGTAAATGAGGACCTGGCACCGCAGAAAAAATTAGGCGCATCTCTAAATCGCAGGTCGTACTTAGACAACGGTGGTCCTGCTCTGAGAAGAAAATGTTTCAACTTCCAATGCCCTGCTATCTCAAAAAAAGTATGAGTAACAGTTGCGGTTGGGTTCTATTCAATAATGGCGCAAGAGCCATACCAACAAAAGACTGGACAGTAGAAACCAAAACTCCAAGTTCGCCTTTATCGACTTTCTGCGAATCTCGTTCCATTGGGACGAATGGGAAATATGGGAAGGGAAGCCAACGAGGTAACTGTACAGCGCGAGCAAAAACGTGTATCATGGGTATCGAGCACTATGAAGCCTCGGGCTGAGGCGTGGCTAAATCATTGGGAAGAAATGCTGGGTCGTGAGAAAGGCTTTTTTTAATTTCGGGTATGCATCCACTGTCATACTGATGCCGAGAAATTGTCGGGGGTTGCTGGGTTGATGGGCAGATGAGATTCGCTCAAATAGGGTGTTTGCTGCGCCAGGCCATGCCTTGCGTTGTTGAGAGCGGAGCGAATGGCCAACTGTGATAGTCGGTCTGTATTCAGCTCGGTACGTTCTTGCTTCGGTTCACCCGATGCGGGGTTGATTGGTAAGATTGATTGTAGAAGGGATGATACGGAGTCTGTTGGCGCTTCGCTGGACCAGTTTTGCTTCTGGATATAGGGGTACCCGAGGTCCACCGTCGAGGATGAATGCGGATGAGTAGACTGAGTTGTTGCTGATGAAGCAGAAGACGTATGATATCCCACCGATTTTGAAGATGGTTCTCGAGTGCTGCCTGACGAGCAGGCTGGATTTCGACTGACACCCTCCAGCTCCGCCGGGATACGGTCAATCTGGAAATGTAACGAGTTCGCTGATTGATCGCCAGGATGTGCTTGATGGATAGAATCTCCTCCGTTAGTGTATCGTCCTCTCTCATTTGCTCCATCACAATCGGGGGTGCGGTTGCTATGTTTGTTCTCTGATACGCCTCTATCTGAAGAGGAGTGAGGGCGTGGGCCATTTGTCTCGGAATTTCGAGAATCAAAAGTCACCTCACAAGTCCGATTATCAGCTGCATACTCGTGCATGGAGTTTGAGAGTTCATTTGTGGTCGGCACTTTTCCGTCGTCAAGGGACAAACTGTAACAGTCTTCACCAGGAGGGTATGCTGGAAAGGAGTCAACGCTATTGGCATATAGCCGAGACCCTGTCTCGTCCAGAGAATCTGGTCTTCCATGGAAATGACCAGGTTGATAAAATGGCCGGTTGTTTGGACCGGCGAAAGTTGCGGCCGTAGTAATGGCACGAGCACTGTATAAAGGTAACGGGCTGTTGTACAGTCCAACCCCGAGGCCCCCGTGGGGAAGATGCGTCGAGTGGAATTGCGGTGTTGTTGTTGAAAGCTCCTGTGGGAAGAAGACTAGAAGCTCCTTTGCTGAGAGCCTCTGGCGAGGAGAAGGACTCAGGCAGATCGATACTATCCTGCGATACCAATCAGGCACGTCCACCTCCTCGCCCAGCAAGAGGGGGCGAGGCTGTCGTTCAGGTTCGTCTTCCTCGGTGGCCAGCGCCCACAAAGTCATTCCTAGCTGATACAGATCGGTTTTGACCCCGATGTACATGGATATTCGCTGGTTACTCTCGATCTTGGCGGCAATTTCAGGGGGTTCCCATCCCACAGGACAGCCCCGTCTGTTGATATCGATGATTTTGGCGTTGTCATCGGCGTCTACCACAATATTCGACAATGTGAAGTCTCCTTGCACATATCCTGACTCGTGAATCTCACCCAGGCCCTCGACGATTTGCCTCGCCCACCGCGCTCGCCGTTCCCAGGAGATTGTGCCCCGCTGCTCATACAGAATGTCAACTAATGCTCCCTGCTCGGCGTAACTGATAAGTAACCCCTTGACGACGTCTCGACGGTCGTTGACAACAATCCCTTCCACTTGAATGACATTTGGTGAACCGTTGAGGGCATGTAGAGCGTTGATCTCGTAGAGAAACTCGTCGACCGTGTCGGGACCGGGAATTTCCTTTTTGATATAGTTCTTACCATCCAGTCGGACATTGTACACGAAGCCCGACAGGTGCGCCTCGAAATGCAGCTGGTATTCAGGGACAAGGCGAGCCTCCGGCAAATGGCCGATGCAGGAGGTCGGAGGGTAGGGGATGATTTCGTTCACGTCTTCGGTGACGTGCACATGGAGCCGGCCATCACGCGTCTCCAATTTCAGATTCGTGACTGTGTCGTAAAACTGAATCTCTGGAAGCGACTCTCGGATGGACTCGTAGATTCGAGCGCACTTGTCTCGCTGGTAGCGCAATTCCTTCAGATCCTGCTCGAGCGAATCGGGAGGAGCGCCCCGATAATCGCACGAAATGGTGACTCTGCGCCATCGGTTGGGGGCCTCCGCGTAGGTGACGAAAAATTTCTCGCGCTCCGACCGGTCACGAAAATGCATACTCAGATTCAGTATCCATCGCTTTTCCAATTCCATCTCGATCAGATCCTCCGGCGGCTGTTCGGGAACATCCGCGACCTCAGGACACGGATTCCAATCGGACATAACCTCACTGTCATCATTCGTCGTCGCAGGTGGTTCAACTTCCTCCACCGTGGGTTCTTCCGCGTGGTCGTGCCATGGAACCTCGGGCGCGGACAATCTGGGGTCCAAGGTGGGCTGTGGGGACCTGGTCCGCTGGGCGCTCAACGGGCAACGACGGTCGGCGGAAACGGCACGACGGGGCTCTGGTTCGACGGGGGCTAGACGATCTCGTCGTTCCGAATCCTGTCTCTTGAATGTTGTCGAACGGGGCAGACCGACACCTACCCTGCGAGAAAGTCTACGGGTCAGGTTATCGTGGGGTTTGGAAGAATGGTGGGCATTGCCGTTGTTGTTTCCAGTGGGGGCAGGGTTTGCGGGAGGTGAGGAGTCACCAGAAGGTGACCGGGAGGATAAGTCGCGATCATCACGGCCCAGCAGTCTTCGAAGACCGAGTCGATGCCACATGCTCTGTTTGGGGCGAGTATTGACCTTTTCTGGGTCAAGTAGAAAACCCAGGTGCCTCGTGGGGCTATATGAACTGTCTGCGATGGAGATGGCCATACAGATCGATTCTGTCGCTCCACTGTCGTGCAAGGAACGACTTGAACACCCCGCCAACTGGATTCCCGACGTCCATAAGAATTGAGGCCGGCACTGGGAGGAAGGACGATGGTAATCAATTCACTCGCACTGCAGCCGATTTTTCACCTGTCTAGTCGAACAACCTGAAGATAGGAAGAGAGAGATAGAAGAGAGAGAAGCAAAATGATGATTGGGAAAAGAGAAAACAAAAAATTAACAGAAGAAAAAATTTTTCCTGTTTTTCTTTTCTATCTTGTTCCCTTGAGAAGTCGGTGAGGTTTGAATTTTGGTCGTATGAAAATTTGCTTCGTCCGTGCCAGCTTGGGCTGTGGCTGGGTTGCTGGGTTTTTTTTCCCTCTTGACTGCCTAATGAGGATCGAACAATGAGGGCGAGGTAGAATGAGTCAAGGTGAAGGGCATCAGGAGTCAGGGGAATTCTTGTGACGGGGATAGAAGAATCACGAAACTGAGTAGGTAGTCTTTGGACGGACAGATAGATAGATAGATACGTAGACTCGATACTGGAAGATGCAAGAGGGAAAAGATATGATAGATGGATAATTGCCAATGGGCAACAGTTTTGATGGTGGTGGTTTTGCCCTGCTTGCTGCAAGGCGTCTACTCGTTTAGATCCAAGTCTTCTTTCTGACATCTAGCTGAACTAAGGATAATGGTTGGAGCAGCAATATGATGAAAAATCCTGTCAAAAAGCCAACTAATAATCCGTCACCCCTCCTTCCACCTGGTTTAGTCCTTTCATTGGGAGCGTCAATTGTATGGAGTATAAACCAGGATAGCTAGCTGGCGTGTCCAGCACGACGAAGAAGCAATATACAGAAAATCAAAAACAACAAAAGAAATCCGAGAGAAAATTGTCGATCGCCAGAAATAATGTTAATTAAACATCCTCTAAGATAGATTACTAGACTAACGCTCAATATCCAAACGCACAAATGGAATATTGAAGCTGTATGGCGGCCTGATATGTGCCTGATATATCCGTAGTATAGAAGAGTTCATGAAGGCACAATACAATGTTTTCTCTCTCACCACAAATAGATAATCAAGGTATCTCGGTAAATACTCAATTGCAACAGCCTTGTAATTTGGCCCTGGTATCACATTCGCTTGATAGCAAAACAATAAATTATCCCAGTGAACCTGCATCCCTTTTCTTCTTGATGCATTAGGTAGATATTAATGCACAGCCCAAATCTTTCTCGAAGCCTTAGGTCGTCCGTTTTGGTTGGCTGTTCGGAGTATGGACGGAGTAGATACCTTAGCCTTCTCAAAGGATCGAGCGTATGATATCGGTAATCTCATGCGCTGGCTTACTACAGTGGATACTCCATCTATCCGTTGTACTTCTCCCATCCATAACATACAGACTAGATAATGATGATAAAGTTGATGATGGCGTTGGCCTAACCAGCGTATCGCTCTACCCGCATGGTGAGACAGTCAAAAGACACCTCGACTAACCTGCCGGTGCCAGGTCGGTAGTAGTCTACCATAGCGGATCAACCAAGGACTTGAACAACATGAAATCCGGAAAATAAACAAAAGCAAAATAGAAAGAAAAGATGCAGAACGAGGCTGAGATGATAATTACCGGTGTCATTTACTAGATTAAGTACAGAGTTTCAAAGTGATGCTTCCATAGAACGACCAGAACCCAGCCGATGCATCCAATCATCGCAGAAAGATATCCAACACCAATCACTTACCTCTCCTGCTCTCAAGATTGACATCAGATGCGACTCTCAAGTCGTACTGCTTCACCAGCGATGCACAAGACCTAAAGTACGGTGTGCTACTATACTAGTACATCTGGGGGTCATCTCAAGCCCAGAGGACCAGAGAACCCCTCGGTCCATGTGCAGCCGACTCGAGCCGATCTTGAGTGTCTGCGCGAGTTGAGCAGGTTTCCTCTGATCGTCAGAAATGGCATCGGCACAGGTTCATTTTGACCAGTTTCCAGGTCCGGCTAGGAATAGTACGAGGATATTCTTTTCTGGCTTGTGAATATGATAGCTTTGTATGGTATTTTCACTGGTAGTCTTGCCTCTTCCCAGGCCAAGCTGACAAGATCAAGAACGCACCACGTCTTCATATATACATACAGACGAAGACAGCACCTCTCCAACGGATAGTTGAGGATGCACGGTACCGCCCACGTTTCCCATGCAACACGAATGGGACAAACCAGTCATAATGACCTTTTCTTGAAGAGCGGAGATTGTTTTCATGAATCCCTCTGGCCGCAGTCGGCGTCCATATTTCTCTGGTCCTAGTCCAGAAGAGACGAAGGCAACATGCTGTATCCAAACGAGGTTTGCTTTGTAGACACCGTCAAAGCAAAATCGTTAGTCCGAACCCAAATCTACGAAACATAAAACTCCGGACCCATGCTTCCCATAATGAACGCCTCAGGCATCAAAGCAATCTCATGAACCAACGTGAGATACATAGCATAGCAGCGGCCGAATTACGTATTACGGCAACGTTGAAACCTACTCAATGATCTCTTTCAATCATCCTCTTCGCGAGGTTCCTTCTTCGGCGTCCCTGCAAGCTGCTTCTGCCAAAGCTTATTGGCCGCGTCCCTGTCGAGCTCGGCAAAGAGAATGTTGAATACTTCCGAGTACCAGCTCACCGCATGGCCTTCAATACCGTCTTTGATGTTCTGTATATACTGTCAGCTCGAAGAGTGTACCAAGGAAGATGTATTTTGGAATCTACTCACCTCCGGCAGCTCTAACCAGTCGGACATATTGTCTGCAGGGAAGATAATCTTCTTCGCGCCAGCACGACGAGCAGCCACCGTCTTCTCCCGCAAGCCGCCGATACGGAGGACTTTGCCCGTCACGGTCAGTTCTCCTGTCATTGCTATTGTCGGGTCGAGAGGGTGGTCCAGGGCCAGCGAAAGAAGAGAAGTGGCCATGGTGATGCCAGCAGATGGACCTGAATCCACTTGTTAGACCTCCGTGCAAAAGGGTAAAACATGCTAAGAATTTTTTTTTTCGACTTACCATCCTTGGGAACAGCGCCTTCAGGGCAATGCATATGAAGTTTCGCCTTCTCGAAGAATTTGTTCTCCGGGAACTGCTTAGCCAAGACCGACTTTGCAAAAGAGTATGCAATCTGTGTGGATTCCTTCATCACAGGCTGCAGATTTCCTGTGATGTCGATACCAGGTCGTGACTCGGGAGTCAGAGCATTTTCCAGAATCGACTCGACGTACAGTGCGGCTCCGCCCATGCTGGTCCAGGCCAGACCCATTGTGACACCAGGGGGGAAGGTGTCGTAGAGTCGGTCCGCTGTGAAGACAGGAGGACCGAGGTAATCTGTAAGGCTGTCTTTGCCGATACTGAGGTGCACGCTCTCAGGGACCTTGAGCGCGAGACGTGGAGTCTCCGTTGTCGATTTTTCGGGATCGGCAGGGGGATCCTTGGGATCTCCTTCTTCGGTCTCCTTCTTCGATTCTTCCTGTGCGGCTTTACCCTCGTCAGTAAGAGCCTTGTCTTCGCCAAGAACCTCCTCGCCAAGATCCTGGACGATCTTGAAAGCCGCTTTGCGATAGACTTTCTCAATCTGCTTCTTCAAATTTCGAACACCACTCTCGCGGGCATACGATTTGATTAATTCCTCAATAGCGTCCTTCTGGAGGTTAACGTCGACATCCTTCAAACCCGTGAGTTCCCTCGCAGCAGGTGCAAGGTAGCGCTCGGCAATAGCCATCTTCTCATCCGCAACGTAACCGGACAGCTCAATGAGTTCCATGCGGTCCAACAGAGGCCGAGGAATGGTGTCTGTGACATTGGCCGTGCAAACGAAGAGAACCTTCGACAAATCGACCGGAACATCCATGTAGTGATCGAGGAAGGATGAGTTCTGTTCTGGATCTAGAAGTTCGAGCAGGGCCGATGATGGATCGCCCTGATGACCTCGTCCGATTTTATCCACCTCATCAATCAGAATCAGAGGATTCTCGGTCTGGCACTTCTTGAGGGCTTGAATGATACGGCCGGGAAGTGCACCCACGTAGGTCCGACGATGTCCCTTGATCTCAGCAACATCCGTGAGACCTCCAACGGAGAACCGGTAATACTGACGGTTCAGAGCTCGGGCGATCGACTTGCCGATACTGGTCTTTCCGACACCTGGGGGTCCTACAAGGCAGAGAATCTTGCCTTCAACGGTTCCCCGGAGCTTTCCAACCGCAATGAATTCAAGGATACGATCTTTAACATCCTTCAAGCCGTAGTGATCTTCGTCCAAGACAGTCATGGCATGCTTGATACCGAAGTTCTCCACGCTCTTCTGACCCCATGGAATTTGAGTCAGCCAGTCAAGGTAATTCCGAGTAACGTTGAATTCCGATGCGGCTGGCTCAAGGTGGGCCAGCTTGTTGATCTCCTCGTCAAACACCTTTTTGACAGCCTCTGGCATGGCCAATTTCGATGCCTTTTCTTTGAACTTCTCCACTAGTTTGTCTTTGCCGTCCGATTCGATACCCAACTCTCTCTTGATACCCTTCATCTGCTCCATCAGCCAATACTCGCGTTGACGTTTCTGAATCTTCGCCTCCACATCCTTGGATATCTTAGACTGGAGTTGTGCGTTCATCAGTTCCTTCTTCAACACTACTAATGCCTTTGGAAGTCGCTCTTCGATGTTCATGATCTCCAGAACTTCTTGCATCTCATGCAGTTCTCCAGCAGACACTGCCGCGGCAAAGTCTGCCAATTTAGCTGGCTCATCGCTGAGATTACCCGGAAACTGGTCGGTATAGAATGCGGAAATCTGGTCACGGAAGAGGGGGTTCAAACTGGCAATCTCCTTGCAGACGTTGACAATCTCACTTGTCACCGCACGGATGATGGCGCTCTTCTTGTCAAAAGGCTCCTCCGCCAAATTCTCCACATTCACCAAGCTGACGGGGTATTTGCGCAAGAAAGAAGTAGGCTCGTAGAGATCCTTTGGCGCGGGCTCGGCAACGCCCTCTTCAAAGCTCGCCACAACATCCCCCCGCTTTTCGGGAGCCTTATCCTCAGCGTTGCCAGCCTTAGTCTGTTCACCAGGAGGAAGAAGAGATGAAATCTTAATGCGACGATGAGGATAAAGGACGGCTGTCACGCCGCTGGCTTCTCCACGAAGAGGGTACGCAGCAGTAATTTGAGCGAACACTCCGACATCGTACACGTCGTCAAGATTTTCAATCACATCGCCGTCGGCATTCTCATCCTTGAATAAGAAGGCACCCACGTACGGTTGTCCTCGTTTCATCATCTCCTGGATTGCTGTTGCTACATTCGGGTCTCGGATGGTGATCGCTTTGTAGAAGCCCGGGAACAGAGGCCGCTTGGCAATGGGGATAGCCATGACCTGAGGATAGACCTCTGGAACGGATGGCTTCTGTAAAGCCCTATCCCCTGAGCTTTTCTTACCCTTCCGTCCACCATCTTCGTTCCCGCCGTTGCTCGGAGAGGACTTCGTGTCCGAAGATCCCCCTCCACTGACAGGGATAGGAGATGGATTCTCCGTAGCATCCGACTTCCCTTCTATGGCACCGTTCTCTTTCTTTGCATCTTCCTCCACTCCACGTTGCTCCTTCTCGCCCACTACTTTATCTCTCCGCCGTCCAGAGCCCGATGTCGGAGCTCCCGGTTCCCTCCCTGTGGAGTCGGGTGACCTTCTTCGACTTTCAGGGGATCGGTCACCGTCCTTCTGTTCATTCGGGTCCTTCTGCTCTTGCAGGTTTGAGTCTTCCTTTTCCTCACCCGATGGAGGCTTCTCTTTCCGTCGGATAGAGCTCGTAGAAAAGGCGCGCGGAGACAGTGAGGACGAGCGAGAGAGGCGGGATAAACTTAAGTTCGAACGTACAGAACCGTTGTTTCGAGCGAAAGGAAGTAGAGGTCGAAGGATTAACGGCCGTGGCGTCTGGTGGAGCGCGGCTCTCCAGGGGAGTGACTGGCCGCGGAGCATGCTACTGTGTTGAGGGACGAAAGGAGGTAGAGAAGGGGTATGCAGGAAACTCCGTTGTATATCTATAACGAAGAGGGTCAGAGAGAAAAAGAAGCTGTAGAGTACAAAATTAATAGATAAAGACCAGAGAAAGCATTGCTCAACGGAAGCCGAGTGACACTTTCGGTAGCTGAGCAGGTGCTTTCATCATCAGCAGCACCCGGCGCATCATTGTTTCTCCGGTCGGATTCGGGGAACTTTTTCAACAGCCGACTCGAGAAGCTTCTAAGAGACCGCAAAGCTTCAGGTTCGGCAAAACTTCGTTTTGCGATGTTCCCCTGCTTAGTAGTCAGGTCTTCTTTACATTAGCGCCATTGACTTTTTTGTGCTCCTGTCTTTGTGGCCGTCAACGTCCTCAGTGATTCACTACACCATCGATATCCAACATGAATTCCACTGCCGCAGCAATGCCCAAAGCTGCGGCTATCCCCGCTCGTCTGTTGCGGACTTCACGACAATGCTCAAATCAGACCCCAGCGAACAAAGTTCGATCATCGACTCATATTCGAACCTACCACGTCTCGACAATCGCATCCTCCGGGAATCATTCGCGTGATGGCGTCTATGCTAGGAGGTTCCCTTCAATCGTCTCGGCAAGAGTAGGTAGTTGTCGGTTATTTGTCCAGCACTGTATCTATACCGTGATTGTATCTAAATAGTTGCTGACGCAAATTCTTCTTCGCAGGGCTTTCACACGACTGCAGCTCTTGCTGCTATTTCCGATCCCTACAAGGTTTTAGGAGTGGATAGGAATGCTTCAGCAGGAGACATCAAGAAGGCTTACTATGGATTGGCGAAAAAATATCATCCTGATACCAACAAAGATCCAAACGCCAAGGAAAAATTTGCGGAGGCTCAGTCGGCCTACGAACTACTGTCCGATGCGAAAAAGAGAGAGACTTACGACCGGTTTGGTTCCGCTGCATTTGATCAAAATGGCGGCTTCGATCCCAACGCCGCAGCTGGTGGTAACCCGTTCGCCGGTGCTGGTGGCTTTCACGGGTTTGGTGGGGGCTTCCCCGGCGGTTTTGCTGCTGATATCAATTTCGAGGATCTATTCGGTGCTTTCACGGGCGGCGCACGTCGGAGCGGCCGGGGCAGACGCGGCCCTTTTCAGGAGATTCTGGTAGGCGAGGACATCGAGGTCCAGACCAATATCTCTTTCATGGAGGCTGCGAAAGGTACATCAAAAGATGTTGTCATCACGCCCTTAACTGAATGCGGTACTTGTAAAGGCGATGGCCTGAAAGAGGGTGCCAAGCGGTCTCAATGTCGCCAGTGCAACGGCTCTGGCACTCGTGTGCACTTCATGCAGGGTGGTTTCCAGGTGGCAGCCACTTGTGATGCTTGTGGAGGAGCAGGCATGATCGTCCCTCGGGGTTCTGAATGTGGTACTTGCAGGGGCAACGGAGTCGTTCGGGACAAGAAAACTATTACGGTTGACATCCCTGGCGGTGTTGAGGACGGCATGCGTTTGAGGGTGGCAGGCGAAGGAGACGCGCCTCCTACAGGAACGCAAGCCGCCCCTGGTGCTCGCACTCAACGAGGCGATCTTTACGTTTCTATTCGGGTCGCGCCTGACCATCGCTTCAGTCGCTCCGGTTCCGACATCCTCTACACTGCTTCCATTCCCCTCACCACTGCTCTGCTCGGCGGTGAAGTGACCATACCCACTTTGGATGGCGAAGTGAAAGTGAAGGTAGCCACTGGAACTGGCACCGGCGATCGGATTACGCTCTCCGGGATGGGCATGAAGAAGCTGGGAGGTCGGGCCAGAGGGTACACGCCCACAGGTGACCTGAAGGTTGAGTTCAAGGTTGCCATGCCAAAGTACTTGACGGCCAACCAGCGCACCATTCTGGAAGTCCTCGCCGATGAGATGAACGACAAGACTGCCCGACGGACGATGAACATCGGGAAAGACAGGTAAGGGTGATTGGTTGCAAAGTGTTTCTCCTTGGTAGAGAATACTAACCGTGGTATGTGCACGAAATAGCCCTCCATCAGATGCTGGCAACGCCCCCAACCACTCCCATAAGAACGAAGGTTTCCTCAAGTCCGCCTGGCACAAGCTCATGAATAGCACAAAGAACGGCGACGGTGAAAACTCCGCCAGCAATCCAAGCAAGAAAGAGTCGGGGGACGCCAAAAAGAGCGACAAGGAAAGCAAATAATCCCCTGCCTCGAGCTCGTCGACCTGTACAGCTGAATTTTGCATACTGTGGATCTACTTCATTTCCTGAAATGTATTAAACTTCTTTCCTTTTTGGATATATATCATAGCGCCGGCGAGATGGTGTTTGTTTGTGGTTCCTGTTTCATCATCATGGTGGGATATTTTCGCCTTTTTGACCGCTGCGTGGACGGTTAGACGAGATGTTATTGGGGGATTCTGGCTTGTATGTGAGCATGCATGAATGTACTATTAGGACTACCTGAGCTACAACATGAAGAAGACATCTCTACTTTTCACTTGAATTGACGTCAGTATCCAGCCGCGAATCCACTCAGTGTTTCTGCTTTGGCGCCCATCGGAAGCTTCTGTTGCTCTGCTGGCGGTCGGCCCTGTTGTTCAGTCAATTCCGCCTATTTAGGCAGTCATTGCCCCTCTTATCTTCATCCAGAAGAGCTTTTCCATCCCTCTCCTGTGAATTCTGCTTGTTGCGTAGACTGTGCTTTTTGCGCTTGTATTGTTCAGCTGTCAGTCGCCTCCCCGTTTCCAACATGTTCGTCATATATCTTGGCTCGACTAACATACGTTAGGCCGTGCCCCCTTCCTGGTTACCCCACAGCAGCACAGCTCCATCACATCACAGTCCCCGATCCGTCGACCTGTCCCCAACTTTCACCATTCAATACCTGCATTGCTCGCTGTCACCTCGGGATCCGATATATTATATACCTCTAACCTCTCTCTGCGCGTTGATGGGAGCCCCCCGCTCCGAGCGATCATCAACATGGTTCAGTCTCCGATGCTGTCATGTCCATTAAAGCAGACCAACGAGATTGATTGGATTCGGCCTCTGAAGGATTATATTAGACAGAGTTACGGGGAAGACCCGGAACGATACAATCAAGAATGCGCGACGCTCAACCGCCTACGACAGGATATGAGGGGGGCTGGAAAGGACAGCGCGACGGGCCGCGATCTACTATACCGGTATTATGGGCAGCTTGAGCTTTTGGACTTGAGATTTCCTGTCGATGAGAATCACATCAAAATCTCCTTTACATGGTATGGCTTCCCAGCTCGTTGATGGGCGCCTCTGGCTGAATGGTTCACTCTTGCTAATTGACGCTTTAACGGTCCCATGACAGGTATGACGCCTTTACCCACAAACCGACCTCTCAGTACTCGTTGGCCTATGAAAAGGCGTCGATTATTTTCAATATCTCTGCCGTCCTCTCATGTCATGCAGCCAACCAGAACCGCGCAGAAGAGAGCGGCTTGAAAACCGCATACCATTCCTTCCAGGCATCAGCAGGGATGTTCACATACATCAACGAGAACTTCCTACACGCCCCTTCGACCGACCTTAACCGGGAGACGGTCAAGACATTGATCAACATTACACTTGCCCAGGCGCAGGAGGTCTTCCTCGAGAAACAAGTGGCGGACCAAAAGAAAGCTGGATTTCTCGCCAAGTTGGCCAGTCAGGCGGCTTATCTTTACTCGCAGGCTGCTGAAGGAATCCAGGAGTATGCCAAGGGTGTCTTTGACAAGTCCTGGACCATCGTTGTGCAAGCGAAAGCGGCTCACATGGCGTCGGTAGCTTCGTATTATCAAGCTTTGGCGGACAGTGAGAGCAACTCCCACGGGGTTGCTATCGCTAGGCTGCAGCTTGCTGACAAAAACTCAAGTGCAGCAATGGGATGGGCCAAGTCGTTCCCGACATCGGTCACGCCCAACTCGAACCTGACTTCCGAGTCGGGGGCCAATCTCGTTGACACCATCAAATACCACCAGGCGAATGTGCAGGCCAAACTGGCCACCTTTGTAAAGGACAACGACTTCATTTACCATCAGCCCGTTCCCAACGAAGCTGGCCTGTCCTCTGTTGCCAAGCTGCCAGCAGCCAAGGCCATCCCCGTGAGTGAACTTTACCAGGGACAAGACATTCAACGTATTATCGGACCAGATATATTCCAGAAGCTCGTTCCCATGTCAGTGACGGAGACAGCTAGTCTCTATGACGAAGAAAAGGCCAAGTTGATACGTGCGGAAACAGAAAAGGTCGAGACAGCGGACAGCGAGATGGCTGCCAGTCTGGACTACTTAAAGCTCCCGGGAAGTCTCAATATCCTCAAAGGGGGCATGGACCAAGAAATGACGGTCGACGACGAGTTCCGACAATGGTGCCAGGAACTAGCGGGTCATCAATCGTTCGCTAAGGCGTTTGACACCCTTCAGGACCGAAAAGGCGAGATACTCTCACAATTAGACCAATGCTCAAAACAACTTGACCTGGAGGAGAGTGTATGCGAAAAAATGCGATCAAAGTACGGAGCAGACTGGAGTCAGCAGCCCAGTGCCAGGCTCAATACTACACTGCGCAGTGACATTCGGACGTATCGGGACACCATCAACGAGGCCAGTGCCAGCGACTCGCAGCTTCTAGCCACCCTCAGACAGTACGAGACGGATTTCGACGAAATGCGCTCTGCTGGCGAAACAAACGAGGCCGATGTGTTGTTTCAGCGCGCAATGATCAAAGCCGGATCCAAGCACGGAAAAGGCAAGAATGGAGTCGGCAGTCCATATGCATCGACTCAGGAGGGGAGCCTGCTAGATGACGTCTACGATGAGGGAAGCCTTTCGGTGGCAGAACAAATCGCCAGGGTGGAATCCATTCTGAAGAAGCTGAACCTAGTGAAGCGGGAACGGTCCCAGGTGTTGAAAGACTTGAAAGAAAAGGTACGCATTCTCCGGCCATTCTCGACAGCGCTCGCTCTGATCTAATGGTACAAATGCAGGTTCATAATGACGATATTTCCAACGTCTTGATCTTGAACAAAAAGTCAATTGCTGGACAAGAGAGTCAACTTTTTGAGACCGAGTTGGAGAAGTTTCGTCCACACCAGAACCGGCTGCTCCAAGCCAATCACAAACAGGCCGCGCTAATGAAGGAACTCACCAAGGTCTACGGGGACTTGCTTCAGGATAAGCGAGTACGGTCTGAACAATCGAAATATGAAACCATCACCCGCCAACGGAACACCGTGATGGCCCGGTACAAGAAGATATACGATGCCTTCAATGGTCTGCTCTCCGGAATCGTGCAAGCGCAGGCCTTCTACACGGAAATGGGTGAAACAGTGGAGAGCCTAAAGAAGAATGTCGAAACCTTTATCAACAACCGACGGTCCGAAGGAGCTCAACTCCTCGGGCAGATCGAGCGGGAGAAGGCGGGCACTGCAACGGACCAGGAGGACCGGGAACGAGAGAAGCTGCGGCAGCTCATGGAGCGCCTGTCGACCGAGCCAAAACCTACATCTACTCCCTCACCATCAACGGCCCCTTCAAAGGCCAAATCCCCTCCACCACCCGTAAAGGCACCCGGGTACCCGGGTCCGGGCATTGCCTCTCCTCAGATGTCACCACACTTTGCGCCCGGTGTTGCTGGCCAACAGCATGGCATCCCTCTCTCCCATTCCCCCGCACCTTATGGTCAATATGCCGCTCCGCCAAGCGGCGTCTCTTACATGCAGGGGCAGCCGTTCCAACAGGGCGCTGCGGCACCGTTGTCAGAGGGCTACAACCCGATGGCATATCCAGTGCCCGCTTCGATCTCCCCTCCCCCTAGTCAGCAATACTATTCGTCCACGCCCGCTCCCTACAGCGGATACTCAAATCCAGCACCGGCAACCGCTCCGTCACAGTTCATGCCACAGGGTTACGTGCCCCCTCCACCACCGCCGCGGCCGCAGCAACCATCCTACCCACCCTCCACAGGCCCATACCCGTCCGGTCCTGGGGGATACGCACAAAGCAGGCCGTACGGGACGAGCCAGCATCACAAGGCGCCGTCGCAGTCTCAGTCATCCTCCTCAACCGACCCATGGGCGGGCCTCAACGCGTGGAAATGAAACTCTCGGGTACGGATCTCGACTATTAGCCATTATGAAGTATGATAGACATTTGAGAAGGGGATGTTGAATGGTTCGCATTCCGGCGTTGGCTATATGATCTATGGTTTCATGCTTTTGCCGTATTTTCCGTCAGTTTCTTGTTTTTACCCCGCGCCGTCGCGTCTCAAGTCTCACCCTAGGTATTCTGTTATATATTATATCATGATTTGTTCAGCGGGACTATATAAATGATGTACGATGTTTCAAAGTCCTATTGCCATGGTCTTACCCTGACCAATCATCCCATATAAAACGCGGGAGACGCGTGATAGTACCTATCAACGCAGCTCTGCAGAGGCATATGCAGAAGCATATGCAGAAGCATATGCAGAGAATATACATACACCAAGAGAACATCGATCAAGATCAACCGCATCCCGAGGTAGAAAAGAAAAGTCTATGGCAGATGCGACACATTCATGTCACCAGACAGTTCGGCAATGGTGCAAGCTGTAAGAGTAACAAGAAGGCAACTATGGAGGCTATATATCCGTACACAGAGAAAACACATGAGATGAAACAGACAAACTCAGGGGGTATCATGAAGAAAGGGGCAATGCTCGCGTGGACGAGTGAGAGCGATGAGGTATGTGAAGCCCAAAAAAAGGTGCCCGATCAGTCCAACCAGTTATACAAAGCTCCAGCCCAACGCCGATAAAGAAAGCAGAAATCGACTGAACCATCCGTCCCATAACGGTGTGGCAACAAGAGAGGAAAGAAGAATGACGAACGAGCTAAGGCTGGAACCTTAACCGGAACTGTCTTCCCCTGCCTTTTTCTCGGACCTTGTATAGAAAGCGAGCGATAGCTTCCTGCTCGGCCAGCGCGGCGCTGTTGAAATGCTTGCGGACGGCTGTCGCCAGCTGGGTCTTGCTCACACGGCCCTGGCCGATGGTGCGATTCAGGGCGGCTTTTACTTCCGGTGGTCCGAGTCCGTGGTGCTTGCGATGATGGGAACGGCCGGTGATGCCGTTGGTGCCATTCGCTTCATTTTGCTGCTGGAGCTTAGCACGTTGGGCGGCGATGGAGGTGGGAGACCGGAGGCCGATGCCTTGAGAGAGGAGGATGCGGGAATAGTCGCTGGAGAAGGCGCTGGGGCAGGAGAGTTTGTAGGCGTGGCGGTAGGAGTGGAGGAAATCGAGGGACATTTCGGACCATTGGATCTGAGCCAGGTAGTCACAAGTTAGCAGGTTGATTAAGACTCGGATGGACAAGACAATCCGCGATGATACCTTTGGCAAATCGTCTGGCTGGTCGCCTGGATTGGCGGGGGCACTGGTGACGTTGGCAACGGCTGTAGAGACCTTGACCTCACGACTAGAGGTTGAACTCAGCGCCAATGAGGCTCCGGCCACCTTGCGGCCTTTTGCAGTCGTTGATTTTTGCTCTCTAGTGCCATTGGATGCTTCCGATCGAGAGTCATCTTGGACGCCTGCAGTTCGCTGTCGCGGGGGAGCCATTTGGGGGAAAGAAAAGAAATGAGAGAGAAAGGAGATTGTACAGCAACAAAGATGTGCGTCTGATTGAGCTATGGACAAGCGAAATGAGCCTGTCTTCAGGACAATCACAGAACTCAATACAGGATCATGCTAGATCATCAACAAAAGCAAACCATCATCACTGCGTAGGATCGATTCTGAACGATAAAAAGAATGAACAGGAACCACTTCGGCTCTGATGCCGGGCGGCGACACGCGGCAGAATACCGAGGCGCGACATCTCTGGCTGTTTTAGGCTTAGTAGCTGAGGGTTAGTGATGGCATCAGCCCTAATTATGTGATTCATCGAGGTCACCATGAGCATATCGAGAGTACATATGAACTGTCAGATTCAATCTGTCGCATTGCGAACAGTGGTCAGTGGTGGAGTTGACCCTAGGGAAAAGTTGGAACATAAGACATAAGACTGAGAGAGTTGTGGGCATGACGCCGGCTGAAGCTGATGATAGGGTTTTGTTCAAGTGCACGTGAAGTGGCACTATCTTGGGCTTGGAGGATCATTTCCCTTGTTCATCAAGAAGTTGAGAGGGACGGACTAAATGTCTACAAAGAGGTGTACCGTGTACGCATGGACTTGCCATTTCAACCTGCAAAAGCACGGCAGTCGACTGCTCATCGTGACGTGGTATACCGCATTCGATACGGAGGCTCGATCGTTTTTCTGGCGGTGGTGCCTGATAAGTTGATAATGTCGAAACGTGTTGCTCACCGCTATCTTTGCGTTTGCTTCGGATCCCCAAAGAGAAAGTCAATACGAGAAACAGAAGGTCAATTTAGTGGAACGTGGTGCCCCGAATCAATGGAGTCATTTTTCGCGAATCGGGGAGCGCGAATCCAGACACTGACTTCCGAAAGTTCATCCCCTGAATCTGGAATAGTTACATGATTACCTAAAATGGTAAGCTCAGCTGGCCTACCGGGGGAACAGGATTAGACCCCAATACACAGCCTAAGGAAATTCTTGCTGGCGGAGAACTACCGGTTGACCATAAATTCCATCAACCACGGAGATTGCCTCAGACCACCACGGGATCGGGACAGACTCGGCAAGTTGAGAAATTTTTCGAAGACACTCGGGAAGAAGATGCCGGAGGAATACCGTAGAGGACTAGAACAGAACCGTTTAGTTAGGTAGGGAGGTACTCTCCAGTCTAAAGAAGGAAAAGAGACGGGGAAAAATTCCTCTTCACCGAGGAACCTCTTTTGGTCGCTCAGTTGCTGACAGTCTCCGGATCTTTTCCTTCCTAGGTGCCACTAGTCTAAAGATGGAGTAGTGGTCTTGAAAATGGTACGGTATGGAAATACAAGACTGTGCGGAGAGAGGGGACCCCTCCAAATTTGGAAGTCGCGTTCGCAATTCGCCCCGGCCTGGGAAAGGACCGGCTTTTCCCCGAAATCATCCGATCCCAGCTGAGCTGGCTTTGGATCTGTGATCTCGTTGTTGATTCGAGTATTAACTCTGTACGAAGCCTTGTAAATCGTAATAATACTCAATTCTACAAGAGGTACTTTGTTACAACTCTTTCCAGTGCTGTACCGCAGCAGACTGCAGTGATATCAATTTGCACTCTATTTTTCGCTTGTACCACTGATCAAGGATTCTGGAGCGGGAGATTGCCGTCTAGAAGGCCGCCACTGAGGTAGGCCCGTGTCTCGACTCCTGGACTAGCTGCAAATCATTGACATGACGCAATATCCGGTCATTGTCCGGTCCCTTTCCCTTTCTGTCTGAAGTTGTCTATACTTCGTGTACGGAGAAGACAATCCCTTTTTATCACGGTATTTTTGATTTGAGAACCAAAATCATGCAATCCCAGCATATCTGCAGCTCTGTAGTTCTGTAGCTCTGCAGCATGTGAGCCCACACACTAGAAGATTTTTAATTAATCTATCACTCAGTCTATTGTTGTCTAGACTGTCAGGTACAGATTAAACTAGAGGACGCGGCTTGTCTACCCCATACTCCATCAACACGCTACTCCGTACTGCTAGTAATCGAGCTCAATTTAGGGGATGCGGTGCTCCTCAAGCACATGTGTCAGGCATCTCATGTCCAATAGTTTCTGCGAATCTGAAAATCAATAGCCGTTGGAAAATTCTGGCGGAGATTGTGAACTGCTTTCAGGCGACGTGTCATCAGTTCCCGTCAGTCCTTACAGTATTGCGGGTTGTACCTCGCTGGGACCCTGGTAGTTAGTTGCCAGCCGACCCTTTTGGTATACTCGACGTCGTAGCAGGACAAAATGGAAATGTCTATCACATGTAAATTATACTATCAAGTGTCAAACTATGTTATTACTAAGGTATGATGTTACGACAGACAACCTACGGAGTGCCTTAACTTATGCTTAGTCCTTTGGTATTTACATAATGCGTTCCATGGAGTGGAGGAACTCCGGCAACTTTAACTGCAGGGGGAAGGTCTACCGGACGGGTTCGCCTCTTCCTTTCTCTGGTCACCCGCCTCATCATCAGGGCAGAATGAACTAACGAAGTTCGTTATCTCTGTCGGATAATCTGAGCTTTACTCCGCGTAATGTTCATCCAATGGACCCTTCTTCCACAGGACCAACCGACGAACTCCAGCTCAGATCATCGATCTTAGCCGGAAATAAATTAAATCTATCTAGAGAATGAATGATAAGATCATGATCCTCCGGACTAACAGGCACTGGCAGAAACGAAATTATCCGCCCCTGTGGCCGACAGATAGGAAGAACACAAGCTATCTATTTCCACCAATTGGCACGGGTCCGCCTCCCTGTCTATCGCTGAAAACTATCTAACCGCCTTAATCATTATGTCCAGACTTCGGAAGAACGGCCCCGCAACCTGGGGGCGGCTGCGAAGCCAGCGAAGCGTGTTACCGTCTCTGCAGGCTGATTGGTTGAGCTTCTTGTTCCAGAAGCTGTGGGGACTTTTCTTTCTCACTCTGTCAGTCTATTTTTTGATTCGCTGCCTTCTGAGCCTTGTGGGGTCCACCAAGTGCGTGGCGCAGATTGTCAAGAGCGTCGCTTTTGCGCCCTTCCGCAATGATTGTAAAATTACAACCTATGGTTTTGCTGCAACGGAGGCAGAGAGCAATCATATTCTTAGATTCCACCGAGAGTTACGCCTTGCTGATAACACTGCCCAACTTGTAACTGATAAGCACCCTACCTTGACTTCTCAAGAGTTCAGTAATCTAGGCAGAAACCTATCGAATACCTTGGATGCAGTCACCCCAGTGTGGTATCAATAACTTTGATGTAATAATAAGCGACCATTCCCAATTCCATGGCTCTTCCCCGGATTCCCGCCCCCCGCACACAGTCGCCAAGCCATCAAAATGTCACTGTTGTTACGTTTACGGAATGCGCAACGTTGCACTTCGTTTTTCTTTTTCAGAAGTCGGAGTAAAATTGCGGACCGAGTGTAACCAAGGGGTTCGTGCTTGTCGCTTTTCCAGCTGAGACGCAGAGAACGGGCACATAGCACTGTCAATGTCTCATCTTTGACAACGAGAAGTCCAACCGCATGCTGCGATTGGCGATCAATCGGGGTCTTGCTCTCCTGAGCCTCGCTGACGCAAGCAGGTCGTATCACCAAGTCCGCGCCAGAGAGCACGTCATGACTTGCCGCTGGGCGATCCCCTTCTGAAAGTGATTACCTACATCTGAAAGAATAGGAACCGCTGATGTGTCGCACAGTGACACTATTAGCAATAGTATCTCAAGGCCCGTACCCAATGAGCGATCAAGTTTGAGAGCTCATCCGGTGCGATAACGACTTTCTTCCTCATTGGAGCTGCAGGAGCTGTGAGGACACCACTAAACGATCCGCCTCGTTCTCTGATGTAGTGCGGGGTGACCGGCATGAAGATGCATCCTCTTCAGCTTCTTCAGCGCTGAAGGATGAAGAGTGTCTTTGCTGATCACTGTGATGGCGATCTCTTGCTAACTGGTCACGTCGATCAGCGTTATCTCTGCCTTGATTTTTGGAGTGAGATAAGGAGGATTTATGTTGAGAGATGGAAAAGGCGCTCTAGTGATGTATCTGGTCAACAGGAATCCCACCGGTCGCGTGCCTCGACCATTTACAAGATCATATTGATAACATCCATTATCAATAATGTGGACGGAGCTGGAGCACGCATGTATATTATTGTGTCGGGTTGTCTGACGTTTGCATTGTACCCCACCTTAGCAGAGTTAGGCAACACCAATGTAGTGGTCTAGTTACCTAATGATCTCCCCAAGGCGCACCTCATCTATTCAACAATCTAAGAACCTGTGGCCATTGGTCGGCAATCTATTTCTTGATCAAAAGTTCGTGAGACGTGCATAAGCCAAACATGCGAGTCTGGCGACACTGGGGCTGGAATTCTCAGCTACCAGTATGGACGCGCGTTGTTGGAGAAGCATCCGTTCTGCGGCATCAGAAGCTGCGACGCCGGATGAAAATTGAGTGGAAGAAGGTTCTCCAAAATCAGGACCACTGTTGTATATCGCGCTGTTGAAACGGGAAGGATGATTGACTCTACTAACCGAATCACCGAAAACAGTCACCCCGGATTGATGTGCTCTTACTCCGCATCAATCCCACATTGAACAATGCGCATGTTATCTGCTAATATATTGCGCTAATGAATATAACGAGAGACTCAAAAAATTCATACTAACATTGCTACAGTAGCGCATGCGCCCAATGTTCCGGGTATCTCCATTTCATTCCAAGTATATCCATTTTGTCATGAAGTCCGGTAAATCATAGGCCGAGAGGAAATGTGATTATTGCTGAGCCACTTCGCTGCGTTGGGAAGACGGATAAACGGCTCGAAGACTCGAACAGCTTAACAGTACGTACTTGCTTGGATCAATTTGAAAGCCAAAAAGTGTTTGAAGGCATGATCCATGAATTTGAGCGGCGTTTGTCACTGATCACTGATAAGCCAATACATTAGAAGGAAAGGGCTAGCGCCG